CTCCCTAAATTCCAGAGTTCAATCTTACTGGCCTGAATTGGGCCACTTGCCCCAGCCCTTGACCAATCCCTGTTGACAGGAGTAAGAAATATGCTAATTGACCAGTATGGGTCACATGTCCATCTAGGAGCCTTTCCCGTAAGAATCCCATGAAGGTCATTCCCTAGAGAGAAACCAAGGTGCCACTAGCAGGTAAAGAATCAGGGGAGGTGGGACCACCCCAAACCCTGTTCAGATTCCCTCCACTGGTGAAAATCAAGGTTTGCAGGAAGGTGCTGAGCATCTACTGTGACACACTGGATTTTTCTTGAGTGTGATTCCTATTTCCTTCACTACACTTGAGCTCCTTCATGGGGGATGTGGGTCTGTGATTGCTTGTGGATCTCCCCTCAGCACCCTCTAGCTCCCTTGTTTATTTGTGTAGACTCTGTGAAAAAAGAACGGATGTCTGGTCTAGACATTTGAAACCCCTTCCTCTAGCTGAGAAGGTTGGAATTCATGGGATCTAAAGTTAGGAGCCATTCTGCAATATTTAAGTTCCAAGATGAATATAGGCAGGCAACAATCGACAAACACTCAGGGCAGCCTCTTTCTATTTTTAGTTCAGATACTTATAGAATGACATCTGAGTGCTCAAACGCCCACTGGCCTACAACTGGGAGTCACACAGCCTGATTCTGCCCAAATAAGGGTGGCAAAAACTGTTAGTCCCCCAGTAAGGGTGGACCCAACAGGTGGACAGCACAGAGAGGTCTGGATGCCAGGGATGGGCCCTTAGTGGGTCAGATTCCAACTGAGTTGGGCAAGGCCACACCATGCCTTCTGCTCCCTCCATAACAGCTCGCCTTGGTTTTCTTGAAGAGCCCTGCTGTCTTCCTCTGGAGACAGTAGTGTGTTCCCGGAGGCCAAAAGGCTTTGGGATAATTTACTTTCGCAGGAGGCTCCTTGTTTCCTGGAAGCTCTTTGCAGAGTAAGCCAGAAGTTGGAAGGGCTGCAGAGAGGGGACTGGAACCTGCCACCTTGGCAGGAAGGGGCAGAGTATCGAGTCCAAATGGGGCATCAGCCAGAAGGCAGAGACTCCCAATCAAGAGTCCATGGCGTGTTTTTGTACAAGTGGGAAAAAGAGCACCTGTATTCAGGACCCCAGCTGACCACACATCGAGGTTATATGGGTATAGACTAAGGAAGGCTCCTGAAAGTTCCAGAATCTCAACAGGCCCATCTAGAGGCAACTGCAGGGGCCATAATCCAATTCGGCACTTGGTTTAGTATGGACAGTCGAGGAGATGTGTCAGCTAATCTCATAGGGCTGGTGACAGCAAGTGGATGGGTTCAAGCCAGATGTGGCCAGTAAGTCTACTGGTTAGGAGGTCCTTGCATCATACCCTCTCCCATAGCAGGGACACTAGCCTAATGCAACCAGCCTTTCTTAGTCCCCTTAGACTCTCCTCTGGGTCTGAGAGCCCATCCTCTGGGTACTAAGCTCCCTCCTCCTTTTGGTATGAGAGCCTATAGAATTCCCTCAGAGAACATGCAGTGAGGGTCTTGCTGGTTCTCTACGTGTGGGCTTTTCCTAGGGTCTGAACAAGGTGCAGAACATTCTGGAATCCTCTGGCTGTGCTGACAAGCCCTGCTAGGATCATCCATGCTCCTTTGTAGAGCCAGGGGACATCAGCTTTGGGGCTTGTGGGGGTGGGGGGTCTGTGGCCCAGGAGGCCCTCCCCCCACTCGTGACCCTGGCAGGAAGCAGAGGTTATCTGGCAAAGCAGGTATGCTCAAGTTCCTCACCCAGAGAATCCCTCTAGAATGCAGGTCAGAGCTCCGCATGCAGACAGAGGGCTGCATTGAGGGATTTCCCTCCCTGAGGAGGGGAAAGGCTGCCGCCGAGTGGTGAGTGGTGGTTGGGCTGGCTAGGAGGAATTACAGGGATGTTGGAGGGCACAGCTCCACCATCCAGGTGTCTCCCTGCAGTGAACTCCACAGAGGACATTCACTCAGCCCCTAAGGCCCACACGAGAAGGAGGGCCTGAAGTCCAAAGGGTCAAAGGGCCAGGGAGAGGGCAAGCCTCAGGGCTTAGAGGGGACACAGGATGGAGCCCGAGGATGGTGTCAAAGGGACCTGCCCCTGTACGGGGCTGAGCTGATTGCCAGCCATGAACGCAGGGAAGAGCAGTGAGAACCGAGTGTTCAGGACAGTGCATTCTCCTCTCTTCCATCAGTGGTCAGAGCTGCCCAGGCAAAGCCTCTGGGTGGATCCCCTGTATGTCGACTTGTGTTTCTCTGTGCACACTTCTCTCTGTGGCTCTCACATGCTTTCTAATCTGTGCCCTTAATTCTTTTTCTGTCAAAATTTCATCTCAGGCTGGAATGAAGTTTTCAGACTGGATGCTCCCTACTGAGAGCCACAGTCACCAAGGGGAAGGTCCTAGAGGAGGGAACCAGGCAAGATGTTGTCATGTGAAGGGACAGGAGCGGCTGTCCCATAGGGACCTTCTTCCCTGAAAAGCCAGAGAGAAGCAGAGGCATCAGGTGGTGTCTGGTCCAGGGTAAGGACATAGCCTTCGCAGCTCCTAGTTTAAGGTGTCAGCCCAGAAACCCCACTCCCATCCCAGCCGTTCTGTCCAACCCAGGGTTTTGCCCCAGCTCCAGAACAGTTCTCAAGCTGGCTGGAGCCCCAGGGTTCACTTAAAGAAATAAAAAGAGACAGTATAATGAAGCTCATTAGGGTCTTTAGAGGCCTGACAAAATCAAGGTCATTGTGTGCAGCTGTGTGGGGGTGCGCGTATGCTTGTCTTCTGTTGAAGAGAGAAATTGGTCGATTTCCAGAGGGACCTGTGATTAGAACAAGGCTAGGAACTTTTCTTTCAGAATTCCCAAGCTTTATTCACTCACCAAGTTGAGCCTCTAGAAAACCCTGAAGCCCGTTACTATGACTTCTGTTTTAGTTAGCTTTTTTTGCTGCAGTGACTAAAGGACCTGACCAGCACAATTGTACAGGAAAAAAATGTTTATTTGAGGACTCACGGTTTCAAAAGTCTTAGTCCATAGAAGGCCAGCTTCATTTCTCAGGTCTCAGGTGAGGCTGAGCAGGAAAGTGTGGGGGCGGGAAGTGGCTCACATGATGATCACAAAGCAGAGAGAGTCTCCACTTGTCAGCTACAAGTATATACCCAAAGCCACACCCCAATTCTCACCTCCTCCAGCCACACCCTACTAAGTCAGTTACCACTCAGTTAATCCCTATTAGGGGATTAAATCACTGATTGGGTTAAGACTCTTAAAACCCAATCATTTCTCCTCTGAACCTTCTTGCATTGTTTCACACGTGAGCTTTTGGGGGACATCTCACATCCAAACCATAACAATTCCTTTCCCACCAATTACATGCAGAACAAGATTGTGCTCTGTGGAGATCCAACCTTACATAATGCTGGGCATCATTGTGGGTGAAGAAGGTCTTTGCCACATGGGTCATAAGGCGAAATCCTCTTGAAGCAAAGTTGGGAAGAACTGGTCTTTCCCACCCAAGTCACCTCTTTCCTTTCGTGGGAAATGGCTTGTGGCACTTTCTCCTCTGCCTTTTCCTGGAAACTTGAACATAAGAATGAGGCTGGGACCTAACCATTTGTCCCCAACCCAAGCCCATTTGGCCATGGACTTTTGATGGTTTGGATGCTACCGTTCCCCCTTATATATGTTTTTGCTTTCTGAGGTTTTATTTACCTATAGCTAAGAGCTATCTGAAAATATTAATGGAAAAATCCCAGAAATAAGCAATTCTTAAAGTTAAATAACTTTTTATAGTATCCTATTATAATTAGTTTACTTTACTATTAGTTATTATAGCTAATCTCTTACTGTGTGTAATTTGTAAATTTTATCATAGGTATGTAAGGTTTGGTACTCTGTGGTTTCAGGCATCCACTGGTGGCCTCGGAGGGTATTTCTGTGGATGGGGGGTACTGTATTTTATCATTACTTTCCTCTGATACAATACAGGGCTCTGCCACTTTCTTCTGTTAGCTGTTGGGCACATTAAGTCCTTATGGTCTTGGCTCCTCATTCATTCAATGGTAATAGTCAGTGTCCATCTCACAGAACCATTGCTGTATTAAATATGTGAGTGCCTGTTCTGCAACCCCATATCTGTCTCAAAGTAGGCGGCCAACGAACACACAACTTCCTCTCCACGTCTCACAGTCTTACTCAGCCTGTCTGTGACACCACCAGACCTGTTTGAGCAGGACTTCCTGTCTTAAGGTTTCAAATCCTGGCTAGAAGTATGAGACACCCCATAGCATGTTCTATCACTTTCACTCATTAACTCATTCAGCAGTCATATATTGATACCTGATGTGTCAGATGCTGGGTCAAATGCTGGCTATGTACTATGCAGCCCAAGGGGAAGACCAGAAAAAAGAGGCATTCAATGGGTTAATAGCTGAGAAACTCTTAGGATGGTGCCTGGCACAGGGGGCTGCTATGTAAATGTTCCTAAATAAATATCAGCATTGTCAGTGAGGTGGTATGCATGGTGGCTATGGGGCCCCAAAGAAGCATTAGGAAAGTGACATAGAACTAACAGCAGGCAAGGAAATAGAGGGGAACAGATGGGGGCAAGCAGAAGGAGTGGGCCAGGGCAGGAGATGCTCAGTCCATGTACTAGGGAACTGAAAGTTCTACCACTGCCTGAACTAGGGGCCTGTGAAAGTGACCAGGTTTCCTAGCCTTGAGGCAGGCTAAGGTTGGCATGTGGGTCTTATAAACTGTTAAGCTGCTGTTTTGCCTGAGCTCTGCAGAACCTTGTCCCTGGTCTGGGTTTTGAGGAGGAGGTGCTAGCATCCCTACAACATCCCACGATTCTATGGCAATCAGAAGTCCACTGAGCTCCTGAGGGTGGTCGGGGATGTGGTTTGGGCCTGTGACCCCATGGCTGATCTCAGCAGCTCTGTTCCAACCTCTGGCTTTCCAACCAGGATCTGGGTTTTCTTTCTTTGCAGATGTTGGAGGAGCTCAAGTGCTGGCAACGGACAAGTCTGCTGGGGAAGAAATTGGTAGGTGGTCTCCCACGTTATTCTAGGTGCAGATGAGAGTCAAGAAAGAGACCCTCCAAAAAGCACACAATGGTGGGTGGCTGCTGGTGTCAGTTTCCTGCTGGTCAGCACATAGGACTGGGCTGGGTTTACCTGCAGGCCAGCCTGAGTGGCCAACAGCTTTATCCTGGGGCCAGGTCCTGCAAGCCTGTCCTCAAAGGAGATATGAGACATCAAGGGCACCTTTGTCTCCTCTCTGTGTCTGATGTTCAGCTCCAGCACCCACAGTGCCCCATGTGGTAGCTGGGATCCCCCAGACAACCGCATCTGCCTGACTCCTAGGACTCCCAGGCCAGCCCAGCCCATTTTTGTCATGTTGCATTAGGGTGAGCTCCTTGTATGTCTTTCCAGCTGATTCCACGTCCCTCAAAGACAGGACAGGACCTTATTTATTTGCCTTCAGCCTTGTCACATAGCATCAGACTAACACACTCAATAAATTAATCAATCAATTAACGAAGGGATAAGTGAGGAAGGGCTACAGGAGACCACAAAGGTTAGCTGCCCACCACCTAGGGCTGGGGTGAACTGGTCACCTCAAGGGCTGACTTTGAGTGACCTTAGAAATGTCAGAATTGTTCCCATAGCTGAAGTTTTCCAGTGAGATGGGAAATGAAGAGAATTAATGTGCTCTCAGGAGAGGGGAAAAGAGGCTGCCACAGCAGGTCTGAGTGTGGAATGTGAAGGTCCAGATGCATGACTTTGGACTTCACCAGAGCTGTAGAAGAGCTTTGCAGGGTGATGAGTAATCCTGTGTTCAATTCCTACCTGTGCTGTAGATTTTAAATACGCCATCATTGGGACTGCTCTGGGCTTTGCCATATCCGCCAGCTTCCTGGCTCTGAAGATCTGCCTAATCAGGAAGCACCTGACAGACGATGACTCTTCAGACCTGAAGACTGTACACCCGGCCTGCAATGGTAGGGGGCCTGTGACACTCAGACCCTGCTCTTCCCTGCCTGAGAAGGGACAGTGCGTTAGTCAGCTTTTCTTTACTGTGACTAAATACTTTAGCACATCAACTTAAAAAGAGAAAAGGTGTATTCTGGCTCACAGTTTTGAAGGTTTCAGTCCATGATTGATGGGCCCTCTTGCTTTGGGGCCTATGTAGGCACAGTATGTCACAGCAGTAGTGCATGGTGGTAGAAGTGCCTATATCTCAGGGCCAGGATGAGAAAGAGAGGGAAGAGGCCTCCATCTAATGATCTCCTTGGAGAGGCCTCCAAGACCTAAGGCCTCCCATGAAGCCCCAGATTTTAAAGGTTCACCTTCTCCCAGTAGCACCCTAAACTGGGGACGCCTTTAACACCTGGGCACTGGGGAAACATTCCTGATCCAAAAAATAGCTGACAGTGTTCTGGGAAGCCACCCACCATGAAGCATGGCTGTGAGGGCAATTCCATAACAACAGCCAGAGAAACTACAAAAACCCCAAGCCCAGAGCCCCATAGGCTTCAGGCAAAAAAGCGCAGTGGCCTCTCTGTTTTTGTCTCTATCTCTTTCTTCTTGTGTCTCAGTCTCTCTGTCTCTTCGGTGTCTCTCTCTCTGTACTTTTCTTTTTTCAGTGGCTCTTGGTATTCCTGAGAACCAGTTTCCAGGAGAAAGGTGGAAAGAAGATGAGCAATTGGCTTATAAAATAGATTTCTATCCTTTTATGCAAATTATGTGATCAGATAAAATTGATCCCAGGAGATCAGGTGGTCCTAAGCATGAGTGGGTGGTAGAAGGTGCTGCGGTCATTGTTAGGTGGACCAAATTGGGCAAGTCCTTCTCAGACTGGTGCCTAGCGGTCCCTCATGGTCCCAACAGAGCTGGGCTCGGGTGAACCATGGTGTTGCTGCCCCTGTCCTGTGGCATCTTCAGAAAAGGGCCTCCTAAGCTGATGCAGAGCAGTCAGCTTCTGACTTTTTGTAGAGAAATGAAACTTGATTTACAAGCCCTTTCTCTCAAGGTGTCACCCACAAAATATTCTCTGCCGTGTTAGTCTTTTAACACCATGGTGATGCAGTTTTCCATGAGATATTTCTGAGGATGAGGAGGATGGACTCTCACTGTGTTTCTGGAAACTTCAATCATGATCTGTGAAAATATGTGGAAAGGGGTGGTCAGGGCCATGTGCAGCACCGTGGGCCTCCAGGTGCACAAGGACGCCGTTGGTCACCATCTTATCCCTGAGGTTGTATCCCTAGCAGGAAGAGGGCAGGATACACTCTGTCCCATACCACTTCCCAGCCAGTGACCCCAGCCCAGGAGCCAGCTTCTCAGCACTGCCCAAGTTGTCTGGCTCTGACCCCTCACATCTGTAGCTTTGGTGCTGAGAGCTGCCCCAGGGGCCACAGGACCTCCTTCCTAATGCCCTGCTTTCTCTGTTTAGATACCATCGTGCGAAAGAAGAGACCCTCAAGGTAAGGTCGATGCTGAGGCGGTCAGTGAGGGGGTCACTTTCCCTTCTGTCTAAGCCACTACCTCTCTGCTATCAACCAGCTTCTCTAGGGGACTAGAATGCACCCCATACCTCCCTCCTCCTGCTCTCTGCTTTGGATCAGTGGGCAGTTATCATGAGAATAGGGGACACAGGATATAGTAGCCCAAAGGGGCTGGAGCTTGCTTTTGTACTCCCTGGATTAGATTCTGCCCCACCCTGTGCTCAGAGCCCTCCAGTGCATCTCCCATGCTCAGAATGAGGTAGGCAGCCCCTGCCCTGACCTGGTAGGGAGGATATAGAGTCTGTCCCAAATTTCTTAGCTTATTTGCTGGTATCTGGCCACTCTGCTTTAATCCATGGACAGTCCTACCTCGGGGCCTTTGCACTTACTATTTTCTAACATGGGAATACTCTTTTCCCCAGATAGCCATATGCCTCATCCCTCATTTCCTTCACATCTATGCTTTAGTGTCACCATTTCATTTCAGATGGCCCATTATAAATAGAAATCTCCCCTCCACAGTTCTACCTGGCTTTATTTTTCTTCATAACTTTTCTACTAATTGACATTATAGGGATATGAGTTTGTCTCTTTTGGATGTTTGTTGTCCTTAAAATGCAAGCTCCTTGAGGGTAGGGTATTCCTTTTCATATCTGTAGCCCTGCACTTAGGATAGTGCCTTAGGATAGTGCCTTAGGATAGTGGATACTCATGCATGAACTGAATAAATAAATGAATGAGCATGAGAGAAAACAAGCTCCCTCACCCTACAGAGGACACATGTGACTTCTGTCTGGTGGAGGGACCATGACAGAGCTACACACATGTGGCATGAGGTGCAGAGGGGTGCACAGCTGGCTGGGAAGCAATAGGTATGGGGAGAAGGCGAGCCTCAGTCAGCCTGTGGAAGGAGCAGATCAAACAGGCAGAAGGAACTTTGGCACATGCAGGCTCCCTTGGGTACCATGGAAAACATTTGGCCAAGAGCAAACGTTAGGGCAGAAGCAAGTGCTTCATATGGAGGTGCAGAGAGAAGGGGTTGGGGAGAGAAGAAATTTCTACTCCTGGAGGATCCGATGGTCTTGTGTTAAGTGAACGATTCTGAACCCTGTCCTGAAACTCCAGCCAACCACTGATGGATTCTAAGATGGGGAGAGATGGGGTGTTTTTCATTATGGGAAGGGGCTCAGGTGGAGATGGGGAGCCAGGCTGGAAGTCCCAGTAGAGATCACAACCTGCTGCAAAGCCCTGCTGGAGGAGCAAGCTGGCTGGAGGCCACAGAGGAGATGAGGGAGGGGCAAGTTCTGGAGTATTTTGAGGCGTTAGCCTAGAGGAGGCCATTCCCATAAACCAGATGGGAAGATTACAGTCGTTGTTTCAATAATGAACCTTTTGAAACAAAGTTCCATATAAGGAGTGTGAATGTGAAGAGGTACTGGAGGAAGATGGGTGGGCAAAGGAAGGGAAGGAATAGAGGGACTTTGGAAGAGAAGGGAGGCACAGTTCAAGTTTCCAAAACTAACACTAGATGGAGTCAGGCTGAATTCAGGAAGGCGGTAGGCCCCAAAGAAGCAGTTAAAGCAGTTGATCACAAGGAAGCCATTCTCCTGCAGTAGGGCTTCATGTGTGCTTTCTGTCTTTAGGACTTGGTAAATGAACATCCTCTCTCTCTCTCTCTCTCTCTCTCTCTCTCTCTCTCTCTCTCTCTCTCTCTCACACACACACACACACACACACACACACAGGCTAAACCTCAATTTCTCTGAGAGGAGAGTTTTAAGAATGATCATTTTTACTCAAAGAGAGGAGGTGGTCACTGCCCCACGGTGACGGTGGCTCTTCTGCATGCCTAGGCAGGGATTGCTAGCCACTGGCCAGAAACCTTACACCAAGACAGCTGAGAGACCAGGAATCAGCATCTTTTTGGATGCTGTGGAACATTCTCACAGGGTGAGACTTTGGCAAGACTTAGAGTGAAGCGGTGGGCCATTTGCTGAAGTAGAGCCCAGGAAACTGGGTCTTAACAGGAGGATAGTTTTTTTCTCCTCCACTTATCAAGACCTTTTCTTTGACAGTGGCCAAGCGAATCATTAGTCAATTTAGTTCAATTGATGAACAACAAATTCCAAACATCTCTCTTTGTTATCAAGCTGTCTGATTGGCTGAATGTGTGCTTCTCAGTGCTGCTTTGGGGTCTCAGAGTGAACAAAGGCTGCTTGTGCCACACAGGGGCAGCAGGAAGCGGGACAGGATCTTGGTCTCCTGATTGAACAAGCCCTATTCTTAGGAAAGAGAACACCTCCACTGGCTTATCTGAATGATGCTTTCACAATCCACAATCCCCAACCTACTTCTCCTCACTTAAGGAATGGCTCATGCACTGTAGCTTATATGACAGGCTCTGTATAATGTGCACAGGGTGGTCATCCAAGGCCAGAGTGCTTTCCTGTCTTCTCTTTTGCCCTTTGTCTATTTAAAAAATCTTCAAATACACAGAAGGAGTGAAAGAACAGTACCTTGAAAACGTATACCTCTTGCACCCAGATCCACTAACATTTTGCAGCTTTTGTTTTATCTCTGTATACAGAACCTCCCCTTGTTAACTGATCCACTTGAATATCAGTGTAGATATCATGAGACTTCACCCCTAAATATATCACCATTTTATCTCCCACTTAATCCCAATACAATGACCACTCCTAAGAAGATAATATCATGTATTATCCAGTCCACATTCAAACTTCTCTGATTATTTCAGAAGTCTTCTTTTATTCCTCTATTGTCCAATCCAAGAAAAACCTTTGTATTTGATTTTGTCTCTTTTAGTGTCATTCAGTGTTGAAGGATCTTTCTTCTTTTCCCCCGGGGGCATTGCACACTTTGAAATATCTAAGGCAGTCATCTTGTATAATGTCCCATGTTCTGGATTTGTATGATTGTTTCCTCCTGAGTAGTTTCAAACTGAATTTTTTTGTCAAGAATACTACGGAGGTGACATTGCTTATCTTTTATTGTGTTGTGTCTGCAGGCACGAAACGCCAGGCCAGTTCACTGTTGGTAAGGCTTCGTTTGATGGCTTGGCTACAGAAGCAACGTTGGCTCTCTGCATTACAGAGATTAGAATGTTCCCCTCTGTGATTAGTAAATAATCCGAGGGTTGCTACTTGGAGAGCATGTGAATTCCCTGACCCCCATCATTTCCTTACCCACTGATTTTACATCTATTCATGATCTATGCCTGAATCAGGCATTGCAGCTTATGGTTACAAAATACTCTTTCCCATTCAAGCATATTCTTTCTACATTTGGGGACCAAAAGGCTTTTTCCTGTCTCCTCTTTTCTTCTGTTCCTACTTGCTAAGTAATATCACTATTGACTTCAGTACAGTACATTTTAGTTCATTAGTATCATGAGTCTTTTTGATGCTCAGATTGTCCCCAAATGGCTAGTACATGGTATTTCTTGGCAATGGTGCCTTTGTGACAGGACCCCATTCTTCCTGGAGTGTTTCCTAGACTTGTGACACTACAAGTTACTCCAGGCTCACCCTGTACTTCTCCCACCTGGAGTCAACTGTTTCTCCAGGGACTCCTGATTTTTCTTTTTTTTTTTTTTACTGGAGAGTGATTTTTAGAAACCAAGGTCTGGACACATTGTGTTCTCATGGCCACTAAGATGTCATTGTTTCTAGGTTTTTTTCAATGGACAGTCAAGAAATATATATTCAAGTCAATAATTCAGTGTCCTAGATTTCATCCAAAGCGTTCCCCAGTCCATATTTCTATTTTCTCTCTTCTTAAAGTGAAAACCCTGGTTCTCAACCATATAAAAATATGACTTAGGGCTGGGGATGTGGCTCAAGCAGTAGCACGCTTGCCTGGCATGCATGCGGCCCAGGTTTGATCCTCAGCACCACATACAAAAAAACAAAGATGTTGTGTCCGCCGAAAACTAAAAAAATAAATATTAAAAATTCTCTCTCTCTCTCTCTCTTTAAAAAAACATAAAAATATGACTTACTTGTTCTATCCCAATAATACACACAAAATACTTCCAGAATTCCAGCATCGTACAGCTACAAACTGCTTCATAAACTTGAAATTTTATTTATGGTACTTTCTGCTTTTAGCATTTAGCCCTCTCTGTGTATACAGAGTACTGTGTTCAAATCCAATTGTTTTCTCAGTGTGGTTAATACTATTGATTTCTGATATAGCATTAGAAACACTGGTTTGAGACTATATTCTATTTTAATATTTTCATTTTTATTGTTTAACAATTTCATTTTTGAACATGTAAGTTTATTGACTTTTTTATGTAGTCTTCCATGAAAAAGATATTTTATTTTACTTTATTTTTGATTAACATGCATTAATTTTATACGCTAATGGGAGGTCAGTGCAATATTTTAATGAAAGAATACATTTAATGCCTGAATAATCAGTGTTCACTGATTAAACCCAGCCTCTTTATCTGCCATATCCACCTTCCCTATGTCCCAGTCTCTAGTTATCACTATTCCACATTAAGGTTGACTTTTTTTTTTTTTAACATTCACCTGTGAGACAGAACATGCAATACATGTCTTTGGGTATCCAGTTTATTTCACTTACATAATGCCTTCCAGCTCCATCCATTTTGCTGCAAATTACAGGACTTCTTTCTTCTTTGTGACTGAATAATATTTCACTGTGTATATATGCTACATTTTGTTGCATACTTCTTGTATAAGACTATTTTCATGTGTTTCAAGGAGCTCTCAGATTTTACTCTGATGAGGTTCTTATGTTTCTTGATAAGTTCATTATTTTGTTTTTCTTGTTTTTAAAAGATAATTTCCCATTAAGTCTCCTACCTGGTTGTTGACTGTATATTGACCCCCTCTTTTGTATGTTAACATCACAGTGGTTTCCTTATTGAATGCTTTTATTGTGTTTGTTTTTCCCTCTATCCCCTTTAGTTTGCATATCTTCCTTCTCAATTCTTATGCCTCTAATGGTTCTCTCCTTTCTGACTGTATTGGGGAAAAACTATCCATGTTAAATAACAGTGGACACAGTGCACAGACTTGCCTTGCACCTGATCTTGGTGAGAAATACAACAGTAGTGTTCATTAAATAAGATGTTGGCTCTGTGGCTAAAGTGCATATATTTTATGATGTAAGGGAAGCTTCCATCAGACTCTATGTTATTGAGTTTTTAAAAAATTTGTTCTAATTAGTTATATATGACAGTAGAATGCATTTTGACACATCATACTTAAATGGAATATAACTTCTCCTTCTTCTGGTTGTATAGGATGTGGAATTATACTGGTTTTATAGTCATATATGCACATAAGGGCAATAATGTCCAATTCATTCTACTATCCTTCCTACTCTGAAATGGCCATTGAATTTTTTTTAACAAATCTTTTCAGCATTAGCAATCATTAACTCATCCTCAAATGATATAACCTGATACTCCTATTGGCTAGCCAGAACATAGAAGTACATATTAGTTTATTTAGTTTTCCTTCTCTTCTTATTGGCTTCTATGATCTTTGGAGGATGTGGTAAAACATTGGCTTTAATAGCACTACAACTGCATAATATCCCCAAACTCCTTCCCTTTCCCTGTACCAGTCCAGGGTATCATGTGGCCTAATTCACTTACTCATCCAGCCAGCAGATGCCATCCTAGCTTCTGCTCAGCTTGCCTTTTACTGCAGGTTGTCCCTGGCTCCCTTGTGACTGATGATACACCCATCCAGAATCATCCCTTCCTGTCAGAGGTCAACTTGTCCATGAAATAGCTCAGCAGGTGCCACTTCCCTCATCTCAGAGCTGCCAGGAACAAGAGTGGCCTGCCCTTCTGCGGTACTCACCCACTCTGGGCATCAGTATTTCAAATGCAAATTCTGGGACATCCAGACACTAAATATCCCCTCCTTAACAACACTTGCAGGGGCCTTTTAACTCAGGGCTTATTAAATCAATAGGAGAAATAAATTCTCTGCTCAGCTGGTGGGTGTCCAGCTCAGCAGATTTGAACTCTGTGTTCTTCTGGATCAACAGTTCTTTAAGGTAGATCCACAAACGGCATTGGATTGCCCTCTCTTAGAATACCTTCCTCCATTTCTCTCTCCATTCTCCCTCAGCATGACTTGCTTGTTTGCAACTTACTTGTCTTCAGTGTTGCCTCATCTGCCAAAAACTCTGTATCTTTGACCTTGACCTCCTTGGTCCTCAAATGTAGCCTAGACAGACATGTGATATTCATTTTGTGGCCCCTGCCTGGCTTGTCCGTTAATGTTTCTCTCTCCTCTGTCTTTTCTGCTGTTGCTTTTCTCTCTCCCCTGGGGAGATGTCAGATGTCAAGAGATTGTGACTGAATATGCATAAGGAATACCATATGCAATTATGCAGCATTTGAAGTAAACATAAATACATGCTTCCATTATTATATAATTATATAACTCTTATCAGGGTCTGATTTGGTGCTCTGACCTTTTCTTCTGTCTTCCTCTTTTTTTTTAAAACACATCTATGCTTCCCTTCCCTCCTGTCTAGGCTGGTAGACTAAATATAGAAAGTCTCATCCATTTAACAGCTTATGGTTCAGACTTAAAGGCAAAACTTTCTACCTATCTTCACATAGGTCTATCTACTTTGTTCCTCATAGCATCTGCCCAGATCTGTACAAACTCTTCAACTTTACAAAGTGACACTTTTCCCCAAATATATCTGCTGACCTTAGGGATGACTTCTTCCCTTTTCACCAAAGCAGATGAGGTTTTTGTGGTCTTCAGCTCAGCAGGCACAAAACAACCTCAAGGTTGAGCTTTATCTGAAAAATTCTCCTTTACCTGGAAGACACTGGCCTTCAGGCCTCTTTGTACGTTACACACAAAAAAATGCCCCAGCTTGCTGCCATTGCTGATGAACTCCTTCACAGCTGCTTAATGTGGTGCATAAGCACACAGTGATTAGTCAAAGCAAAGTCTCTTTGTCTAAATATCTTCCAGATCTTTCTCTTTCTTTCCAGAGATGCTCAGGTGATTGAATTGTAAACAAGTGGCTTCTCTGGGAGAGATTCAACTGTCTAGACAACAGAATCTCAAAATGTTTTGAATTTGAGCACTGAAGGCTGGTTATGAAACGTCACATGGACTCAATATACAAGGAAAATAATAGGAGGACTATAATCAAGAGTGTCTCTGCTCTGAGAGAAAGTATTACTCCTTTTCTACCAGAAGTAACTGCTCAGGGTGAGTACGTTATCCAACAGTAAGAAATAGGTAGAAGCCAATGAATGCACATCGTCTAGCTTGGTCCACCATGTTGGAGCTGTTCATGCTTCTACAGGGTCATTATGTCCACATCAATGGAACCTACCCACAGCAATGACTCATGGAAGTGGGAACCAAACACAAGATGCAGCTTCCTCAGCACTACCATCTTATAAACAATTAAATAGCACTTGCAGAACCATTGGCCTCAACTTCTTAGCTGCCAGGAAACATGGAGACCATGAGCCAGTCTCCAATGCTATCAATGACTGACCTTCTAAGGGAGAAATGGTAGCTTGGCTTGGAGTGAAAGAAAGTGCTCTTGACAGCCATGGGCTGGGCCTGTGGCTGTGCAGATCTCCAAATGAAGGAGCCAACAAAGGATTAAATGAGAAAGCAGATGGGGTGCCTTGTGAAGAACAACACAAACGTAAGTTATCATTGGTATCCTCAGATAATTATTTTGTGGTGAGTTTTACAGTTTGTATGGTGCACACATGGAAGACAAGACTGGCAGAGGCTCAGGAAACCCATGTCATTCTCTTACTGTCATCAGCCTAATATTCTGTGGCACAGGCTCCATGAAAATTCCTCTTGCCAGTATTATCAACCCCATATTTCTAGGAATGCCTTATGGAAGTCTCTTTGCCTTTCCATTCTTCAAAAATCCGGGTGCCTTTGTGGACTTGTTCTCCTTAAATTGGGTTAACTCTCCTTGTGTGTGATGAAAGATGAGCTATATTTTTTTTTTAAAAAGTGCTGTGTTATAATAATTTGCCTGGATTCCCAGGGCATCTTTTATCTAACTTGATAACAATGTTGTTCATTAGCAGCCTTTGTTAACTGATAACCTAAAGTGGTAACGTGGTACTCATAAGCAATTTTCTGTGTGTAAGATAGAATAAACCATCTTGTAAGGGATCTGTTAATTGATTTGCTTCTTTTAGCAGCATTTTAATTAAGACAACTGGTTTGTGAATGGCAGAAACACTCATGAGCTGAAGACGAAAACCTCTGGTTTCTCAGTCACCGTTTTATGTTCCATACATACAAAGCACCATGGGATCCAATCCATTGCCACAACTTGTGACATATTTTCCTGGAATCATACCTGGAGTCTGATTTTGTTTTAGCCCCTCATAAGGGTCCCTGTGTGAAGTCAGGGACAGTCATATATTGCTTAATGATGAGAATGCATTCCAAGGAATACACAGTTGGTCAATTTCATCATTTTGTGAATATCATGGAGCACACTTACATGAACTAAGTTGGCTATGACCTCACTAGGTGATATAATGTTATAGGACCTTTGTCAGACATGCAGTCCATTGTTGACTGCTATGTCATTATGCTATACATGACAGGATATGAAGGCCAGTGTCCTTTCCTTGGGGTATAAATGCTATCATCATCTAGGAAGCAGAATGGTGTGGGAGTCTTTGGCAATGAGGTCTCCCTGGCTTATATCCCAAACCAAGCTCAATGGCTTCATTGTGGAAGTCCTTCCAGTTCTATTGGAAACTCTCCGAAGCCCCTCTTGGCAGCTCCTCGCCCTGGGAGGAGTTCCTAGAGATGGTGTCCAATGGGTAGTAGCTCTTGGAAGGATTTGGAAGCAACTACAGGAAGTCCCTGTACCTGTGGTGCATGCAATGTCTTCAGTTAGGGACATTCTGACATGGTTGCTTCATGCTGTGATTTGGAGTATATTAGCAGAGCCCTGGGCTGGGATAAGCCTTGTCCTTTTGGCTCTGTATGCCTTGGGGCCCCCAAAGCACATGCAGTCCCCTGACAGCTCATTACAGCCTGGAGAACACCATGCTCAAAGGAAAGGACAGATGACTCTGAAACATTAAGAGGAAAGAGACATGGATGAAGCAGGCTGCAGATGGCAGCAGCCAACCAGAGTCTGAGGATGTAACTTTGGTTTAGGGCCTCTTGGCCTAGTACCTAGGGAAAAGGTGAATTGGGGAAAAGGTGAATTGGGAGAGGGTTATCTGATCAAGATCAATAAATTAAAAATCATCTATCAATTTATATCTATAAATTAAAAATGTTTATGCTACATCTCTAAATTAAAATTAATTCATAAAAATTAAACATGTCTGTATATGTGTGTCCTCCACTTTGTGTGTTAAAAGTATATGTATCATGATGGGCTGGGGTTGTGGCTCAGAGGTTGAGCACATGCCTAGCATGCATAAGGTGCTGGGTTTGATCCTTAGCACCACATAAAAATATAACAGAGATATTGTGTCCACCTATAACTAAAACATAAAAATAAAAAAGTATATGTATCATGGGCCAGGCACGGTGGCACACACCTGTAATCCCATTGGCTTGGGAGGCTGATACAGGAGGATCCTGAGTTCAAAGCCAGCCTCAGGAAAAGTGAGGCACTAAGCAACTCAGTGAGACCCTGTCTCTAAATAAAATACAAGATAGGGTTGGTGATGTGGCTCAGTGGTTGAGTGCCCCTGAGTTCAATCCCCAATACCCTCTTCTTCCCAAAAGTATATGTATCATGCAATTCTCAGAATTATATAGAGTTCAGAGGATTTAATACAGAGTCTTTTTCATCATCCAAGGTTGGAAACAGCTGAGACACGACAAGTTAGGCAGGTGGAAATGGAAATATCAGGTGATTCTACTTTTCCGACGAGTCATGGCATGCCAATATCTCTCAGTAACCTTGGCCAGTCCAAGCAAGAGGGGAGTGTGGCTGGGGCTGGAGGGCGTCTGCAAGGACATAAAGGACAGACTGCTTTGGAGTGGACTTTCAAGGAAGAGATGCCAGGACTCACTGAGGGTTGGGTCTTGGTAGGAGAGAAAAGAAGAAGGAGGCTCATGAGCCTCATCCCCAGGTTTGGAAGCCACTGGGGAGGACCAGAGGAGCACTAGCCTGGGGAAAAGTCTGTGGCTGGGTCTTTTGTCTCTAATGTTGATACTTAGGGAACCCAAATGGGCTGCATTTGGAGAGCATGGACTTCACATTTCTGTAGGTGTTCAAGCCCGAGAACTGGGGTTAAAAACAGTGTTCAAGATTGCTCTAACACATGCTTGGAGATCCATGAGAAATCTCTGGGGAGAACCAGCCTGACTCCTTGTCCCTGGGATGGAGTGTGCATACAGGGTTGCTTAGGCAGAGGAAGCAGAGCCCCAAGATGCACACAGAGAGGGCAGTGGTTGTGACAGGAAGCCTAAATGGATCAGGTCTGGGCTGTGTTCAGGGCATAGCCTGCTGACTGATTCCTTCCCTTCTGGGTCATTTGTCATAATCTAGACTTGTCAGATTAATTAATCATCCTTCAAAGAATATGAATTTTCACAAGCATGTTATCGTTGGATGACAAACAAATGGCACGTCTCCCAGGCTGCGCATGCAGAGTGTGGGGTTGTCACTCAAGCCCCATCAGCCTAGCCTCGCTTATCAGCATATTTTAAGTCTGAATATTCACGGTCCTTAATTTCAACTGACTTGTGACTTTTGCATCTGTGGCCACTCTCTATGAAGTGCAGAATAGTGTCATAATATGTAGGTTCTGCAACCAAAAGCTGCTTTGTGAACAGGGCTGAAGAACTGAGCAATTCCTCAGTTTTATCACCTGTACAGTGGGCTCATAGTTGTTCCTACCCTGTAGGGTCTTTCTGAGAATTGAATAAGGTAATGCATGTAAAGCTCTTAGCACAGTGACTATCGTCCGCACTCAGTAAGCATGAATGTCATAAGTACATTTACCATTGGTTTTGGTCAACTTTTACTCAAGAGGATGAGAAAATAAAATTAAGGAAGTTTCTCATAGACACTAACCTGTTTATATGTTTTTAATAAAATTTTATTTTAGACAGCTTTAGATTTATTTAAAATTTTGTTTTAGACAGCTTTACCAAACATTTGGGAGGATGATTTGAAGTTCCCATATGCCCCACCCCCCAGCCTCCCTATTAGAAACACTGTGCATTGATAGAGTACATTTGTCACAATTAATGAACCAAAACTGATACATTACTAATCATTGAAATCCACATATTATTTGGCTTTTCTTAGTTTTTTTTACCTAATATCTTTTATTCTGGTCCAGGACCCCAACTAGGATTGACATTAAGTCCTCAGGTCTTCTTAGAGATTATGGCTCTTTTGATTGTGGTGGTTTCACAGACTTTCCTTGTTTTTGATGACCTTGATAGTTTCAAGGAGCACTGATCAGACATTTTGTATACTGTCCCTCAACTGGGATTTGGCCGACATATTTCTCATGAAGATAAATTTCTTTAAAGCTAAGTTGCATGGAAAATTGATTGGAACTGTACAAAAACCAATTTTTCACTAATTTTATTATTACTCATACAAACAAAATTAACCAGATAGCTGACAAATCCCACTTACATTTGAGCTGGGTAGGTTAAGTAAAAAGGAAAACTTTTATTGTTTAAATAAAGCAAAATTGGACTGAGGGTGTAGCTCAGTTCTAAAGTATGGACTTAGAAAGCATGAAGTCCTGGTTTCAATCCCCAGCATCAAAACTAACAAATACATAAAATAAAGTAAAACAAGTCTTTCTAATGAGGGAGGGGCTGCTCTGCTTAGCATCATACAGCCACTGTGTGCTTTAGGTAGCAGAAGGGACCAAGGGAGCACTAGGGTAGATTTGACATTGCTGTCCTCCCTCAGCCAGATGAGATGCTAAGCCACTTTTTTTTTTCCATTCTGTGGACAGTCGGGGAAGTCTTGGTGGTGTGGTTGGTTCACCTGGGAAAGGAATCAGAGTTGCCCATTATTTTTCTCAGCAAAAAAATACCCCTTGGGAATCCTTTACCATGTGGTTCTGCTTTTTATTTCCTCCCCTGAGTTTAAATCAGAAGATGACACAATTGCTGACCATGTCCAAGAATCACCCCAAATCTGTTCTGATGGTGTCTACAGCAGCAGCAGCTGCAAGGTTCTGCTCCTGTCTCTAGTGGCTCACTCCAAGAGGAGACTCCATGACTCTTGCTCATGCCATTCCAGGGGCTCCACCACTGCCTTTGCAGAAGATGAACTTCCTGCCTTCACCAGCCTTCTGAAGCCAGGTCCTGTTGATGGCTCCTGCCTCCCCATCACACCATGACCTGAGTTCATCCAGTCTGGGTGTAAGTGGGACTGATGGCGCTCTGGTGTGGGTCCAGATGGACCCCAAATTTCCATGTGTTGAACGCTTGGTCCCCAGGTTGGTGCTTTTGGGAGGTGATGGAAAACATTATAAGGTAGAGTCTTCTGGTCATTAGAGGCATCCCCTGAAGAGGATATGGGGAACCCCTTCTCTTCGTCTTTTTTTTCCCTTCATCTCAGTCATGAGGAAAATAATCTTGCTTTACCATATGCTCTTGCTGTGATGTACCACCATAGGCCCCAAACAACCAAGCCAATTGATCAAAAACTATACCTTTCATCTTTAGTTATGAGCTAAAATATTCCTTTCTTTTCATAAGTTGCTTTATCTCAGGTATTTGTTATAGTGACAGAAATATAGCCATAAGGAAACAACTGGTTTCAGAAGGAAAATAATACACAACAGAAAAGGAGGAAGCTTTCTCAGTTAGAGGGTGGTGGCAGGTACCTGCTACCTTTATTGTGTTCTTCGGATATTTCATTTAATTAAAATACATCTACTCCTCTAAGCCTAGACTTTTTAAATGTACAATTGGTCATCCCTACTTGTGCATCCATGATTCAACCAATCATAGTTCCAAAATATTCAGAAAAAAATTGCATCTGTGTTAAATAGATATGTTCCCTAAACAATCCAGCATAGCAACTATTTACATAGCCTTCACATTACATTTGGTATTGTAAATAATCTAGAGGTGATTTAAAGTGTATGAGAGGATGAGTATGGTTTATAGGCAAACATCATGTCCTTTGTATGGATTTGAGCATTGTTTTAGTCATCTTTTTCATCATTATGACCTGACATGAATGACTTAGAGGAAGAAAAGTTTATTTTGGTTCTTGGTTTCAGGGGTCTCAGTCCATAGATGGCTGACTCCATAGTTCTGGGCCCGAGGCAAGGCAGACCATCATGACAGAGAAAAGCAGCTCAGGACAGGACATCAGGAAGAAGAGAGCTCTGCTCACCAGGGACAAAATATATATCCCAAAGGCACATCACCAGTGATCTATCTCCTCTAGCCACCCCTTCTGGCTTACCACCCAGTTAATCCACTTAGATGGATTCATCTACTGATTAGGTCACAACTCTCATAATCTGATCATTTCACCTCTGAAGGTTCTTGCATTGTCTCATACATGAGCTTGGGGGACACCACATATCTAAACCATAATAAGCATATTCTGATTTGGGTAACTATAGGGGGTCCTAGAACAGCTCCCTGTAGACACATGGAGACAACTGTAGTTTCACTCACAATACCAGACTTCCATGGCTACCAAAGTGCTCCTTCAAGAAGGGACCTGTTCATTGGGCATGATAAGGATCTGAACTCTAACCTCGCTGGCTGAAGTCTAATTCTTCCTGTTCTACCTCTTACTATCTGTGTGTTACCCTCCACAGTGACTCAACTTTATCTTCCATTTCTTAATCTGTAAGATGAGGTTGATGACCACAAGGGTTGCTAGGATCTTCCAAGAAATTATGAGTTTGAAGAGTGTTCAAACTTGTAAGTACTCTATATAAATGTTCCTTATTGTGATATATAGTACGAGACACTGGTAAAAATAAACACAGAAGACAGAGACGTGGCCTTGATCAGAGGAAATCTCAGGCAAGCAGGTGAGCAAGCATTGTTTTTGAGATGTGAACAGGGTGCTTTTGCAGCATGGGGGGGGGGGGAAAAGAAAATCTTGACCACCAGCAGAGTGACCTCAGTCTGGTTTTAAGGACTTTGCCAGGCAGGGAGGAGGGGCAGAGCATTCTGATATCTGGTGTGCCAGTATCCAGAAACATAAGAGAGCACAGCAAAACTCAGGAAGGTCAAGGAATCACTGTGCCCAGTAAGGCTGCATGGAAGGAGGGTCAGGAAGACTAGGGTCAGACAAGGTCCTGTGTGTTGGGCCATTTGGCCATTTGTGTTTTGTGAAATTGGTTTTATCTTTCGCAAAGTCACTGCAGAAAGACAGTAAGTGACTATATGAAATGGAAGTTCTGAGATGCAGAGGAAAGATCCAGAAGTTCTAACATTCATTTAATAAATGTTCTAGACGAAGAGAGCAGATAGAACAAAACAAAACAAAAGCATGTATATATAGAGAGACAATAAACCTCAGCAGAAAAGGAAGGATCTAGTGAGATAAAGGCAAAGCTAACTACATCCAGAAAAATCCAAGCAAAATTTGAGAGAACCAAGAGCAAAGAACATAAAATTACCTGGAAAAATATGAGACTGTTACTGAAATTAGATTTCTTGTTGGCAGAACTGAATAAAAGATGATAAAAGAGCAACGTTTTCAAAACTTTCTAGGGCAATGATTCCATTCCACAATATCCCATACCCAAACTACCACTCAGATTAGAAGGCAGAAAATGAGAAAACAAAAAGAAAACAAACACTAAAATCCTTATGATAAGCAAATAATGTCCCGATAATCCATTCTGACAGAGAGATTAACAGATGAACTTCAGAAAATGAAAAATGAATTTAGAGAAATAAGGATCCTCTAAATTTAGGATCAAGGAATTGGCAGTAAACAAGGATGCACATAAAATTTATATTTCATGGGGCTGGGATTGTAGCTCAGTGGAAGAGCGCTTGCCTAGCCTGTATGAGGCCCTGGGTTGGATCCCGAGAACCACATAAAACTAAAATAAACAAAATAAAGGTATGAAAAATTTATATTTCAGAAAGTGATGATTGATTTTTAAAGAAGTGACACTAATATCATACATTAAAATCCCACCTGATCTCAACATGGGCAGTTGTATGGAAGAAAAGGAGGAGAAATGAAAGCATTCTGTTGGGGACCTCATGCAGACCTTTTTGTGACAAAATGTGGAGGTATGATTAATTCTACATCTTGATAGAAAAATTTAGTATTTAATTTGCTTAGTGCAAACTCATGAGAGGACTCAGAATTTTTTTAAAATAGCATGAAAAACTTTTAAATAATTGTAGTCCAAAGAAGGGGAAGGAGGAGGAAATGAAGAAGGAGTAGGAAGAGAGGGAAGAAGAGGAGGAACAAATAAGAGAACATCATAAATAAATAGCAAATCTGGGTAGCAAAAACAAGTGTTAATACAGAACATTAAATGTGAATTGATTAAATAAATGAAATTTACCTTTTAAAAAACCATTTATTTTGATTTAAAAATTCAATCAGATGCTGTTTATAAAGGACACAACTAAAATAAAAATTGCAGTGTGATTGAAAATAGATTAAAAATTTAAAATCTGACAGAACTTTCCCATGTACATATATGAATATGTACCAATAAAACTTCATATCATGTACAACCACAGGAACGGGAACCTCATTATAATAAGTTATACTTCATGTATACATAATATGTCAAAATATACTCTACTGTCATATATATCTAAAAATAATAAATAAAAACTTATGCTTGGGCTGGGATTGTGGCTCAGTGGTAGAGCGCTCGCCTAGCACGTGTGAGGCCCTGAGTTTGATCCTCAACACCACATAAAAATAAATAAATAAAATAAAGATATTGGTCCAACTAAAAATAAATATTGAAAAAAACATATGCTAATGCTTACAGAAAAATAAAACAAATGTAGAAGTTGTAATATCAGAAAAACTGAATTCAAGTGAAAAGCTTGGCAAGGTTCAGAGGAAGATATTTGACACTGATTACCCACCAACATAATAGAAGCACATGAAGCTCTCTGTACCTAAGAGCATAGCTCAGAAATAGAATGAAATGTGACATTCACATGGGGAGAAATTGTCAGAGGTTTGAAACCATTTCTCTCAAAGTATCAACATACTGGGTGTGGAATTTCCTTTAAGTAGGCCAAAAAGAAACAAAAAAAAAATAATCTCAATGAATGGCAAAGAATTGAAATTATGTACTCTACATTGGCTGACCACAATGAAATAAAACATTTTTTAAAAATTTAAAATGTAACTCATTGGTAGAGCATTGGTGGACCCACAAGACCCAGTTCAATCCCCAGCAGCACACACACACACATTTAATAAATTGCTAATACAGCTGGTCTCAGTGTGCATGCCTGTAATCCCAGCAGTTTGGGAGGCTGAGACAGGAGGATTACCAGTTTAAAGCCAGCCTCAGCAACAGCAAGGCTGTTGCAATTTTGTGAGACCCTGTCTCTAAATAAAATACAAAATAGGGCTGGGGTTGTGGCTGAGTTCAAATCCCCCTCCCCCCAAAAATTGCTAATACAAAGGCATTCTTTGTTTGGAAACCTAAAATATTTTTAAAAATAGTTTGTGAAATTCTAAATTCTAGAGTAATGACAGAGTAGTGTTCTAATTCTAACCTTTCTACCAATAACAACGGTAAGCTCAATACAACTGTTTAGAGTCACTAAAGAGTCACGAAAAACTGGCAGAAGCTAGAAGGAAATTGGTCATTGAAAGAGGAGAAGTGGTGAGTTCCATACTGACCCAGCTTTGTTCCTGAGGGCAAATGCCAGTTTACACTGGGGGAGAGAGTTTAAACAGCAAATGACAATCTTACTGGGCTGGGAAGACACACATTGGGGTTTGAAGCAATCACAGTTTAATAAATATAATAAAATTCTAACAATTTAGGGGAACTATCTCAAAAAAGGAAGCATCTTTAGAAACAAAACCAAAATCTGCTTTAAACTCGCCCTTCAATCCTTGACTGATTCTCTAATCTGGGCAAGTCTCCCAGAGACTCATTGAGAAGAAATAGCTGGAAGGCTAAAAAAAATGTTGAGCAGTGAATCCAGCAATTGTCCTGAAATTGAGAGACAGCTTGGAGTTCCAATTCTACCAAATTAGGGATTTGGAATGCCAGTTAATTTTATTAATTTTATGTCAATATGGCTGTGCCACAGTGCCTGGTGTGCATTATTTTGGATGTTTCCATGAGAGTGTTTGTGGATGAGATTTTTATTTAAATTAGTGGACTTTGAAAGTAAAGCACATTGCCCTCCATAATGTCACTGGGCTTGGTCTAATCAGTTGAAGATCCAGATAGAACAAGACTGATCTCCCCTGATGAAGAAGAAATTATGCAGTAGATGACCTTCAGACCTGAACTGCAATATGAACTCTTTCTGGATCTTTAGCCTGCCACCCACCATGCAGAGTTAGTACTTCAAGCCTCTGTAATTGTGTAAGCTGATTCCTTAAAATAAATCTTTTTATATAAATAAGTCCTGTTTGTTCTGTTATTTTAAAGAACACAAACACTCTTGGCAAGCATAAGTGTACTTGTATTGGAACTAAGACTAGGGGTTATGCCCTAGGACTAGAGATAAAACTTATATAGACCAACACAGTCTAAAACCAGGATTCTATGGAATCCAAGTAATTGACAATAATTTAACTTGCCAGACTAAAGATTCGTGCCCAGGTCTTAATTTATAAAGATGTATGAGTGACAACATAGAGAAATTATTACTTTCATTTCCCAAAAGAAAGGGACACATCATGTTACCCAGGCCACAGGGTGGAAGTACCGTGTTTAGTCAAGAGGCAGAAGGAATGTGTCTTCCGTGAAGGGCAGGGCTGTTTTAGAACTTGCTCATCAGAATAACATTGACTTGGTGTGTAAGTCAGATAAAAGGAGGTGCTTGGGGCATGGACTTGGGATTGCTTAGAAGGCTTGTGATATGATTTTCCTGGCACCTATGACAGCTGATTGACAGGGAGATATAAACAACTCTAGCTATTAGTTTGGCCCTGTAACTACTGGATGCAAAATGGACAAATTCTGAATTTATGAAAACACAAAACTAAAAATCAACATTCTTTGAAGGAAGATAACTGAGTCCAGAGTTTCTATAATGTACTATCCACAATGTTCTGTATTAAATAGAACAATAAAAGACACTCAAATAAACAGGAAATTGTGACACATAATGAGACCTAATGGATGCTAGAATGGACTTACGATAATCCATATATTGAAATTAGCAATCAAGGACTTTGAAATAATTACTATAACAGAAATTATTATCAGAACAATATTAGAATAATTCTGTTCTAATTATTATTGGAACAGAAAGGTGAACAGAGAGGAACACTTGGTAGGTGTGTTAGTCAACTCTCAGTTACTGTGACACAATACCCGAGAAAATCAACTTAGAGGGAGGAAGATTTATTTTGGCTTCTGGGTTCAGAGATTTTGGTGCGTGGTCAGCTGGTACCATTGTTTCCAGACCTGTGGAGAAGTACTGCATCATGGCAGAAAGGTGGGGTGAAGAAAAGCTGGGAAGCACAGAGATAATGTGAGTAAGGGGTCAGGGACAAGATATCTCTTCCAGACATAGTACCAGTGAGCATAAGGAATACTTTTAGAGAAACCAATTTGAAAATCTAGATAAAATAAATGATTTTCTCAGAAAATTTAAATGACTACACTTATCTCAAAAAGAAATAGGGAACTAAACAAAATAATTACCATGGGAGAAAATTAAAAATAAAAGCTCTAGTAGTTACTGCTTAAATCGTCATCACTGTGTTTCTACCAATATACAACCAGTACTCTTTCACACATACTCACAAATGCTTTTTGCTTTTTAAACATTTTGCTACTTTTTTCACTGATTGAAATAATTCCTCATGTTTCACTTGTTTTTTTAAATATGTACCGTTTCTAATTTTTTGTTAATATAAACCACATGCAATGAAAAATCTTGCATATATTCTTTTGGTGCAGATGTGAAAATTTCTCTGGGGACAGGTAGATTTTTTTTTTTCCCCTAAAACCACAGTTTGCATGGGGCATGGCCAGTGAGGAAGGACCTGGGTAACAGCATTCATGGGGAGTCTGGTCTCCAAAGTTTCTGTAACCCTGACATTGGGACAGAACGTGTGTTCCTCTCTGGCCTCTTCGAGTTTGCAGCCCAGGTTCGGCTCCACATGATGACAAGAGTACATTCATTTGTCTTCTCTTTCTGGGGAGCAGATGTCTTTTATTCCCACTAGTTAGGTGAACAGATAAGGAAATGGCCTCCAATCAGAATGGGAACTTCTAGGCACAATGGAAGCTCTGGGTCTAGAAAGTCTCTGCTCTTCCTGGTGGCTGTGGATCTATAACAGCTCGACCTTCCAGAATGATCAAAGTCGTAGAGAACCACACGGAGACTTTTATGCCTGTGAATTGCAGCGGCTCCTCCCCTGACCACACAGCCCAGGCTCACAGGGCAGGCTCTGTCCCCAGAGAAGAGGGTAGGTAGAAGAGCCAGACGACAGGAAGGGAACCTGCCTTCACAGAAAGAGTCTTTTACAAGTTCCACAGGAGGAACACTTTGTAGAGAGGAAATAATGCCTATGGAGGACTTTTGGAAAGTTTCACCATGTAAATTCTTTGAGATCACTTCCAGGAAAGATGGATGCCAGTCAAGATATCCAGGATGTGGGGCTGGGGTTGTGGCTCAGCGGTAGAGTGCTTGCCTTGCACCTGTAAGGCACTAGGTTCTATCCTCAGCACATAAAAATAAATAAATAAACAAAATAAAGGTATTGTGTCCATCCACAATTTAAAAAAAAAATTAAGGAAAAAAAAGATATCCATGATGTGAGCTCAGGCAGGTGAAAATCATTCCATAACTTCTACGATTTTTCAAGGACTTTAAAAATGGGGGTGGTGGGCTCGCCTCGCACGTGTGAGACCTTGGGTTCGATTCTCAGCACCACATAAAAATAAGTAAGTGAAATAAAGGTATTGTGTCCAACTACAACTAAATAATTATTTAAAAAATGGGGGTGGCGATAACTCACCCAAGATAAGAGACAATCAAAGGGGAAGGATCCAGGGGACCTGCTCAGAGGACAGTGACAGGAGTTGACTCAGATGCTTGGCAACTACAGGCTGATCACATCCTTATACAGTACCTGGGACTGAAGGGAACACCTCCATCACCTCCCCATTCTGAGCAGGGAGCCCGTGTCTGTTCTCTAAAAGCAATGAGGAAAAACAGCAAAAAATCCTACTTGGGTCCAACCAATTGAGAAAATCTTAAATGTTTTGTGACTTTTAAGCATCAGCTATTGTCCATTGAATCAGTGAACTATCACATGATAATTTGCAATTTGTGCTTTGCTTTTGCCTGGCATGATTTTAAATAAGCATTGTAAAGCTGCTCTAGTTTTTCCGGGATAGAAAACAGATTCTTGACTTGCACAGGGTTACATCTCAATAATCCCATTGTAAATTAAAAATATCGGCAAGTCAAAATTGCATTTACTACACCTGACATACTGAATGTCACAGGTCAGCAACACTGTGGGAGAGTGTCTCACCTTGTCATTGTGTGGCTGACTGGGAGCTGTGGCTTGCTTCCATTGCTCAGCATTGCAAGAGGACCATAATGTATATCACGAGCCCAGGAAAAGGTAAACATTCCAGGGTTGGGGATGTAGCTTGCCTAGGATGCTTGAGGCCCTGAGCTGGATACCCAGCACTATAAGAAATTAAAAAAAAAAAATCAACTTTCAATGGTTTCTACTGAATGACTCTTGCTTTTGTACCAGCATAAAGTCAAAATATTGTGAGTCAAACCATCTTAAGTTGAGGTGTTTGTAAGGCCCAAGCCTGGACCTCACACTAGCTCTTTCAGGAGCTCCCATGCTTAGAAAGAGTGATGAATGGAGGCCAGTGGAGATCTGTGGATTGGGGCCCATGTTCAAAGGAGAAAAGGGCACTGGAAGGCACTGAGAAGGCTCTGGTGGGACCCTGGTGACAATCTGGCTTGCTTGGATGGGGAAAACTTGTGCTGTGTAGATGGACATGGGCCCTGAGCTTGACGCCTGCTTCACAACTCAGCAGCTATTTGACCTTGGAAAACTGGTGGGGTGTAGGGGGTCATATTCATGTCCTCCAGGAATACCACAAGGACTCAATGATGTAAGGAAATTCCCAGCTCTGTTTGGCATGTGGTTGGTGGTACATATCAGTGCTCTTCTGTTCCATTTCCTTGGGGCCAAGAAGATAGATCCGGGTGGGTCTTCTTCCCAGCAGTGGGAACAACTTACTCAAGTCTTCTGTGTCTGCAGCCCATTGTGCTCAATCTCCAGATATGATGTTCATGGTCTAGGTCACACTCCCTGGCAGTCCCCAGGGCTAGAGAAGCTGCTCTGGCCTCAGGCGCAGGCCCGTGCTGCCAAGTCGCCCCTGGGCATCTCTCCCTGCAGCCCAGCTGGCTTTGATCAGGCCCTCCCTGAGCCACATTTCCCTGTCTTCATTTGTCCTTGTTTATGCTTCCTTGCAAACAAATGTCATGTCTTTCCCACGAGCCTCCTTCTGGCCTGTTTGGTTTTAACCCAGTTTCCTCTACTCAGAGAGCCACATGCTGCTCTCAACCCCAGAGACTGGTGCCCATTCAGGGTCTTTGGGGTAAAGGACCTGCCTGAGGGCTGGTGTATTTTCCTGGGGATGAAGTGGCCACGAAGCATGTAGGTTTGCAGTATCTTGCTTGTGGGACTATATGCCCCCCACCTCAGTTCCATTAGCATTCAAATACAATTAGAAACAATTCGTTGCTTATTTTCTTACATGTATTAAATAAAAGTTACAGGAATCATTGTTTGAGACTGGGCTCCTGCCCTGGGCCCCAACAGAAAAAGACTGAAAATCAAAATGGAATCATTGATGTTAAAGTTCCATGTCTAGGAAATTAGAAGCAGAGGTAATAATTAAAGTTCCCAAACAGGGTGATTTCAATTGGCACGATAATGAAGTTTTTGGGTTTTTTTTTCTGCCTTAATCCTTAAACAAAAATGTAAGCTGATGTTAACCAATTGGTTATTTCTCTCTTGTTCTGTCTGCCTGACCCTGTTTTACTGGGAAAATACCTTGAAAATGTTATTTAATTTTGAAAATATATGTTAATGACATACATTTTACTTTTTTTTCTGCTTTTTTCAGCCCTTTTCTGTCCCTAAAACCAAACTCTTCTTCTCAGCCCATTTAAATACTTATTCTATTTTATAGAATGAATTGTTGCTTGATTGTAGAATAAAAAATAAAGCCAATTAAAAATTTAAACTAAACTGAAGCTGGGGATGTGGCTCAAGTGGTAGAGCGCTCACCTAGCATGCGTGAGGCACTGGGTTCGATTCTCAGCACCACTAAAAATAAAATAAAGACATTGTGTCCACCTAAAAAAAAATTAAAAAAAATTAAACTAAACTATTGTAATTTTGTCCCTTGACACATGATTATTATAGAAAAATTAGAAAATAAACTAAAGAATGAGGAATCCCCTTTCCATACAGAAATACACACCATTAAGGTTCAGGTATGCCTAATCCCAGACTGAACATGTGTGTGGATGTATACATATGTGCACATGCACTAGGTTTCACATAACTGGGATTATATAGTATATTTTTCACTCATGACGTTGTGAACATATTTTCCATTTCTTTATTAACTATGTGGAATTCCATTGTTTCCATTTTTCTTTCACCTATTAAACCCAGGAATTCTTCAACCCTACCAACCCTAGCAGACACACAAGCCCCAGAACCACTCACCCGGAGCAACTTTTTTTTTTTCCTTAACTGGAAGTTGAACCCAGGAGTGCTTCACCACTGAGCTACGTCTTCAGCCCTTCTTCTTCTTTTTTTTTTTTTTTTATTTTGAGGCGGGTTATTGCTAAGCTGCTAAAGGTTTTGTTAAATTGGTGAAACTGGCCTTGAACTTGTGATCTTCCTGCTCCCATCTCCTGAGTTGCTCGGATAATAGGCATATACCACTGCATGTGGCAGAAGTGGATTTTTTTTTTAGTATTTTATTAATTTTGTCTTTAATAACATTTATTTTATGTGACTTATATGATTTTATAGTTTATATGACTTTGATTTTGATAATGGCTATGTTTAACAACTAGCTTGCAAAGTTCTTGAGAGATTTAACCACTGGTTCTCACTAGCTTACGAGCACTAGCTGGTCCCTGCACACCACTAGATGTCCTTTTTGGCTGTGAACACCTTACAAATGCCAAGTACTTTTTCCCTTCTTATGGAGGAATGGTTTGAGCTGGGACACTAACTTTCATTTTTAATATTTGACCAAGGGCTATACCTTAGCCATCTGAGTTATTTTGGCAGTTGTATTTTAAAGTAGTCCATATTAGACTTTCAAGGACTGAGCCTGGGGGTCCTGCTACGCCCTCTGATGCTCAGGCCACAGAGCTTCCTGCACACATTTCAGTCTGGACAGAGGGCGATGTGGAGAGAGCAGCTTTGTTTCTGGACTCTCATCCTGAGGACTTGAGAGATCAGTTTCCAATTGCTGTTATTCTTGCCTCTTAATTATTCTAGTTTGGCTTTTCTGTGATCTCTTTAATTTTGTTGTGGGTTAGGTGGTGCAGCCTGCATTGACTGCTCCTTATCGATTACTGATGTTTGTTTCTCCACTGTGGTTCAAGTACGAGCCATTTACATCTATTGTGCTAAGGCAGGCAGATAGTATAAAAATCATCTTCTAGATGGGTCAGTGATATTTCACTGTAATGTCCCATAATCTGTGAAATTGTGCTACATAGTCAATTAAGTGTTATAGCTAATAAAGGAACAATACATTTGCTGAGTTATTTTCAGGTTTATTGTAAATAATTTTAAAACTAGAAATTGAACGTTGAGTAATAGGCAGACGCCTACTGTCTTGTCTTGTACATAATAGAAGATTCCTATACGCTGGCCTCCCATCTCTACCATCTTTGTTGAATTTCAGACAGCCAGGGTGAACTGGGATTGACTTCTGAGAAGAGTTCTTGCTATGGGTTGTATATGACCTGAAAGGCCCACATGCCAGAAGTTTGGTGCCACAAAGTATCGGTGTTTAAAGGTGGTGGCTCTATATAAGGTGGCGCCTAGTAGAAAGTGATCAGGTCATGGGAACATCACCCTAGGAAATCACTGTAGTTCTCAAAGGACTGGTTTTGTACTCTCAAGAGGGCTAATTGTTACAAAGTGAGACCACCGGGCTGGGGTTGTGGCTCGGAAGTAGGGAGCTCACCTAGAATGCATGAGACTCTGGGTTCGATCCTCAGCACCACATAAAAATAAAATGGGGGTATTGAGTCCACCTACTACTAAAAAAAAAAAAAGTGAGGCCACCATTCCCTGTGCTTGGACTCTTCTGCAGGGAGCTGTTTCCCTTTCCACTTCTCCACCATGATGTGATACAGCCAGCAGGTCCTCACCATATGGCAGCACCATAATGTTTGGATTTTCCGGTCACCAGAATCATGAGCCAAATAGACCTATTTTCTTTATAGAAAACCTAACCTTGGGTATTTTGCTATAGCAATAAAAAGCAGACTAATACAGCTGTCTTTTTCTTATAAAGTGAATCAAAGTTGACTTTCTCCTTCCCACCAACATTGTCAGGGTTCTTCTCTCCTCCCCGTGATGCTGGCTGCTTCAGGTGACATAGGTAGAAGAGGTGGAAGGCATGCTGCTTTGGTCCTTTCTGCTCACTCCCTGTTGCACTATGAATGTTCAAGAGCCCAGTTCTGCCCCCACTGAAACCATTTCTCTTTCCCTTGAGGTCCTCCTGTGAATATGCTGAGTGACTGGAGCAATGAAGGGACATTAGGACCAGACCTCCCTACTAGAGGCAAAGCTCAGGCCTGGGGCATGTATGTGGTGAAGCTAGAAGCTGGTGTCTCAGTCAATGTCTATGCAATCTCACTGCACTGGAGGGGACACAGTGGGCAGCTGACAGGTATGGCTTGAATGGACTGATTCATGTTCTGGTCCCTATGCTTTGGCCTCAGATTCTTTTCTTGGGAACTCTCTTGTGGGAATTTCATGTAGCCTGATCCACCCTTCCCAGAAGTCCCTCACCCCATCCCTATTAATTACTAGAGAGTCTGGGATCCGCTCAAGGTTTTGGGTAGTGTGCTGGGGAAGGAACAGAGTTGCTGCCCTCCCTTGGGACAACTCTTCCATCCATTAAGCAACCGCATCATCTCTGAAGGATGGCGTGGGAAGAAGCCAATCTTAAGGCAGTTTCTGAAATAACTATTCTAATAGTGAGGATAAAAAATAAATCATTCCAGTTCTGCTCAGGGATAACCTGTGAATGCACATGCTATTTTCTAGCAACTAACACCCATATGCCTTGTATGTGAGCTGAAGTCTGCACCAGGGTATGCACAGCATACTTAGAAATTGAGGTAACTCACTGTTGGCCTTTGGGGTCCTCGGTTCTCATCCCCCAAGTCAGAGCCCTGGGCCATGCAGCTGGGAGGCTCATGCAGTAAGACTTAGCAACTGCAGCCTGAGAGCTGTTTCCAGGTGGCCCCTGGCCAGATCATTTTGGACATAGAGAAAGGAAAGGCCCAGCCCTTTCCCTGGAGCTTCCTGTGTGGCTCTCTAAGAACATGCGAAGGGTGTGGTTAGCTGCTGGGATGCTGGAGCTCTGGTCATGTGTGTGTCCAGTGGGATGTCCTGGCTTGGATCACCCTTACAAGAAAGCATGTGTTAGACGCAGATTCTTCTGCCTTTAGCAACCTCCTTAAATATTACAGTCCCACTGAGCCAGAGCTGAGCAGGAGAGAGGAGGTCTCTGGACCCCAGGGTGGGGACATAGATGTTCCTGAGGGCTCAGATCCAGGGACTTTCTCTTCCCTGATCTCTGATGACTGAGAAATCCTAGGCTTTTTGTGTGGGTGCCTGGAAATGAAGGTCAAAACCCCAAGACAGTGACAAACAGACCGTGCAAAAGGAATAGCCTGTTATTAAGTTTGAAGGAAAATAAAAGCAGAGCTTCCTTCCCCATTTGCTTGCAGGACCTGAGAAGGAGTTCTTCCCATTACATTTCTTATACGGGGTACTGACTCACTTCTTTTTAAATAGTTACGAGAAACAACAGAAAATGAACTCAAAAGATAATACTTCCCCATTTCAATCCTCAACTTGTCTGATGGCTTCTGGCATTTTCTCTGCAGAATGAACACAAGGATGAGGTCATCCTTAATTCCTCCACTGCCAACGCCCCCCTCCCCCCATCTCCTCCTGCCTACACCTGGCCCCACAGCATCTGGGGCAGCTGCCGACTTCCCTCTCTCCCCTGGGTACTAAGTCTGATTCCAGCAGTACTTTGGGGAGGGCAGCAGGGTAGTCATCCCCACTCAAGGAGTCCTACTTTTAGTGTGAAGAGAAGAACCTCCACCACTTGAAACAGTCACACAGGGCGCAGCCATAGAAATGCCTCAAGCACCGACCCATGCGTCCTGCCTGCGATCTCAGTCTCCGTGGCCAGGAGAACAGGCTATTTCTGGACTCTCCCTGGTGTTGGGATGAATGGTCTGATGCTGCCGGTAGCCTGGGTGATGGCACAAACCCATCTCCAATGTTAGAAGCAAAGGAAAGCGAGTGAGATGCGGCGTCTCTGCTTCCTGAAGTGGCTGTGGCTGGTTTGTTTCCTGTTAGCTGCCTTCCTCTCAGAAAAATAGAGGCTGGGAAGAGCAGGATTTGAAAGAAAAGACTGGAAAAGATTCCAGGCCTTCTGGATGAAGTTTAGGGCTCACATGCGATGTGTGCAAGGAGTTGGCCTGGAGTCGACAGCGCTCCAAGAAAGTGCTGCGTTGGTCCTTTTGGGGTTTTGCACACCACCCCTGTTGGCTACGGCAGTGAAGCAAGGAGATTCCTGGCAAGACCAGAGAACCAGCTGGAAAACTGCAGGCGCTGGGATGGGGGGTAGGGGGTGGGGGTGCGCGGGAACCCTATATGGGTGGTCTCAGCTGAGTAGCATGGAGCAAACAGAGGGGCTGGGATAGAGGCCTTTTCCATGAGCAGAGGCAGCCCAGAGGCCACATGAGGGTGAAGGATGACTGCACGCCACTAGAGGGGCTTCACTCTCAGCTGTATCCTGGGGAGCAGCGTAGGGGGCAGCTTTGAGAGCAGCTTGGCAAAGCAGCCCTGCCTTCAGGGCTTGAGATGGAAGACCGCACCCCCCCCCCCCGACCCCGCCATCCTCAACCACACACCTGCACCTCACCTAACCCCTCTGGACCACCCAACTCCCTATCTACAAGGAGGATTAACAGTGCCCACCTGGTGGGGACACTGAGAGGATCAGAAAGATCACATGTAGATTCTAGGGGAAAATTCACTGAATCAAGGGACTTGGGCAAATGGTGCGGAGACCAGAAAATATAAGGCTAAAGACAAAGACAACCATTTGTAAACCTTGTTGTCTGTTTGGTAAAGTAGTTTCATATAGGGTCAGGCTTAGTACTGCTGAAGTAGATGGACATGCACACCAGACTAAACAGAAAGGTGGTGATGGGAGCCATCGTCCAAGTTGTCCGCAGTGCTCACTGGCCGTTAAGTTTCCCTGACCGGACAAGGGAGGCACACAGAACACAGAGACTAGTCAATGAGCTGTCCTACTAGGGCATATTTAAGTATTATAGTAACAATCAACAGCCATTCAATTATTTTGGCTGCAAAGCAAATTATCCCAAAATCTAGTGCCTAAAAAACACCTTTTACTATGCTCAGTTTCTGTGGATGGGAGAATTCAGGCAGGGCACAGAGGTGGTGGCTTGTCTTTACCCTGTGATGTCCAGGGCCCTAGATGAAATGCGAAAGCTTGGAGGCAGAATCATCTGGAGTCACTTTCACTTATACATCTGGTGGCTAACTGAAACCTGTTGCTTAGAACACCTTCCTGTGGCCTCTTCATGTAATATGAGCTTCCTCACAACATGGTGGATGAGTCCAAAAGAGAGTGGAAGCCATATCATCTTTTATGAGCTTCCACCAACAGTCACAAAGCATCACTCCTCTGGATTCTATTGGATGAAGCAGTTACAAAATCCACTCAGGTTCAGAACAAGGGATCCTGTCATGTGTAAGGAGAGCATGTAGGATAGAATATACATTGGCGTGCAATCTTTGGGAAATCAGACTCCCAGAGCTTCATCTTATCTTTCTCCTCTTCTGAGGTCAATGCTGTTTCCTCAGGTGTGGTTATTTTCAGATGTTCTATGTGCCTTTGCATAATGGACACTATAGAATTTGATTTGGGGCTTTTGTGAAGAAGAATGTCATGTTTAATTTTTACATACATAGGACCATCTCTACATTCTCTTGCATCTTGAATTTTCATGTGAAAGGAATTTATCAGTACTTCTTTTTAAAATTATAGAGCAGTATTCCATAATTTGATTATGTTGTAATTTATTTAACCATTTCTCTATTTTGATGAATCTTTGAAATGTTTCCTATTTTTCTATTATTAAATGTTGCTGCAGTAAATAATTCCCTAGGTGCCATTTTATGTATGTAGCCCCAAAGTGACTGTTTATCAGGAAAAGGGTGATAGATAAGTGTTTGATGAAAGAATATGCCCACTTGTAATTGTAAAGGGTATCACCACATTTCCTCTGAGAAGGAAAATTACATTGTTAACAATACAGTATAAGAAAATTCATTTTCTTGAATCCTCACCAGAACTTGGTGTTGTCAATCATGTTAACTCTTGCCTATGTTATAGGTGGAAACTGATGTACTGTATATCATGGTTTTTAGAGTTGTAGTTCCCTTATTAAAATTGGATTGAACATCTTCTCATACATTCACCAGCCATCTGCATTTCTTCTCATGGGAATTCCCTGTTCATTTCCTTTACTTGTTTTTCTGTTTAGTCTCACTAAGAGAGAGAAATACAAATTGAAACAGTAAGGTATTTTTAAAACAATGAAGTTAAGGAAAATGACCAAGACCCATAATGCTTGTGAAGATTATCATTTTAAGTGGAGAAAATCAACCCTATAATTATAAATGTTAATTTGTATTTTCTTTCTACATATTTTTAATTAAAACACAACATCTGAACCATATGAAACCATTCTAGTTGTTTCACACCAAAGTTAATTTTTCATAATAGTAAATACAATCTTGTGTATCATTTAATTGGCTGAGCCTTCTTTTCCTCCATACATTTGTTATTGACATTATCCCTTAAAAATTTTAACCTCCCCCAGATAGGTATGGTGGCACATGTCTGAATCCCAATGATTCTGGAGGTTGAGGCAGGAGGATCTCAAGACCAGCCTCAGCAACTTAGTGAGATCTTGTCCCCCAAAATAAAAAGGAATGGGGATGAAGCTCAGTGGTAACATGTCCCTGGTCTCAACCTCCAGTGCATACTCCCCACCAAGAAAGGGATGGGGGATGTTGCTCAGGGATTCAAACCCAAGTACAAAAAGAGAGAGAGAGAGAGAGAGAGAGAGAGAGAGAGAGAGAGAAAGAAATTCTAACTTAAAATATTTATTTCTCAATTAACTGTCATATTGTTGATCTTATTTTTGTGTGTGTGCTGTTACACCCTTGTTTTTGTAAGGCAGTTATCTGTATTTATTTGGCTAGAAAAAATACTTTTAGAGTGCAGTGGTGCATGCCTGTAATCCCTGCAACTGCTGAGGCAGGAGGATCCCAGGTTCAAAGCCAGCCTCAGCAATTTAGCAATGCCCTAAGCAACTTAGGGAGACTGTCTCAAAATAAAACACTAAAGAGTACTGAAAATATGGCTCAGTGGTTAAGCACCCCTGGGTACCAGAAAGAAAAAAAAATGTCTCTTTGTTGTTGCAGGTGTGACTTTTCATCATTCATTGGAGCTCCCTATTTTCCTCCATGCAGGGACCTCACCCTCTGAGCAAGAGAAGGAGGCAGGAAAATGCTGGCTGTGTGGATGGTGTTGGTATTGCTTCTGGAATATTAGGATTATTTTCAATCCATCACCTTTTAGGAAATTCTAAATAGAATTGATGGGACTGAGCAGGAGTTGGGAAAGAATTAGCTGCAGAGTAAAATGGTGCTGAGTGCGCTAGAGGAAGTATATTCAAATGTGAGGACATCCTGGAGCTAAGAGACAAGGCATGCTGGATTTGTGCCAGGCTGACTGTGGCCAAAGCATGGTTTGTGCAAGTGCAGGAGAGGCGAGTCTCAGAGTCCTCCTGGGAGAGAACCAGCATGCCTTGGAGCTGCAGAGATCTGAGGTGCAGAGAGAGCAGCCAGCTCCATGAGGCACGGGATGCCCTTGTCAACCTGATGTGTTGGTTGCTTATTCATCCATTAACTTGACAATTATTTCCAGAGTGTTTGGTAATATGTTAAACATTGCTCTAGATACTAGGAATATAATGGGGGAAAGAAAGGACATCTCTACCTTCTTGGAGCTAGCTTTTAAGGAGGAAGAGACAGATACAGGTAAGTACATGGGACACACACATGAATTATGTGTTCCTGAGGGTGGTGACACCATAACAAAAAGCCAGTTAGTCTCAGGCAACAGAGATGGAGAGCTGAAGAGTACGCTTTCCTTTGTGGTATGAGCAGCCTTCTCTGATGGGGTGACATTTCAGCAGAGATGGTCATGAGTGAGCCCCACAGGGAGGCAGGGGAGAGAGCCTAGAAAGACAGGAGGAAAAACAAATACCAGGCCCTGAGCGTGGCAGAGGAGGACCCCTGGTATGTTTGAGCAGCAGAGAGAAGTCTGGAGCTGCAGGAACGGAGCCAGGGTATATATACAGGAGACAGGTGGAGGCTCAGAGGGCCGAGAGCCTAAAGAGGACCAGGTGGGAACTCTGGGCTAGGTAATATAGAGGAGGTGAGATTTTTTTTTCATCCTGTGTCCATGGTGTGAAGTAAGCCCACTTGGATGTGGGGTGATGAGGTAGGTATGTGAGCGTGTGTGTCGGTCGAGTGCATCTGGTGTGAGTTTGTGTGTGTGTATGTTTGTGGGGTTAAGTGAATGTGTGTGTCTTTCATATCCAGGTGTGTATGGATGTGTTGTGTGTGTTCATGCTACTGTATAGAATATTTGTGTGTGTTCAAGCATTTTTAACTTATGTGATCATGCATGTGTGTGCACATGTCTATGTGTGTAAAAGTGTCTATGTATGTGTTTATATTTCATGTCTTTATATGCATACCTGTATGCATCTGTGTTTTGTGTTTGTATCCCTGATAACACACCAGACAGAAAAGGTCTCAGGAGGAAATGAGCTCACACTGGGAAACCTCTCCTATCACCCTGGCTGGGTCTCTGTCCTTGCCATGAGTCATAGAACAGACCCATGTCACTGATGACATCATAGAATATAGTCAGGATCCTAGTGACCGTGAAGAGCCCAGCAGCCACTGGGCTGGGGCCAGCCAGAGGGCTTCAGTACAGCCCAAGCCAACTTTCACCAAACATCTGGAGCACTGAGACCCTGAGTGCTGATTTCAAATCATGAGACGCTTTTTCATGGACCACAGGGGAGAACAGTCACCCATTGATGGGACCACCCTCAGCGTGACCAGCCTTGAGTCCACAGAAGAGAATATGGAATTGTGCCATCCAGGTGGGTCAAAAGGAAGGGCTGGAGTTGAGCTAGGTATACTCTCTGGGACGGAGACCCAGGGGAAGGCATTAGGGGTGTGTTCACCATCAAAATTGATGGCGATGAAGGAGGAAATCAGTCTTTACAGGAGACCTAAGCTGCTATTCAAGTACCCAAGGTGGTTTCAGGAGATATATGTTTGAAAATGTGAAATGTTCACCGTTGTATGTTTATTTTTATGTGTCTTTGAAGAAATAACATGTTAATCCTTTGACTTTAGCAGTGATGTAAAAATTTCTTTATAATAAATTGATTCAAGTTTATCTAGAACATCCATTTGAAAGCTACCAGGATATGTCCTTGGGCAAAGGATGTGTCCTCAGGGTAGCATTTGCTCTGGAGGCCAAGTGGCTCCACGAGTCATTTAAAGTCTCTGTGCCTCAGTTTCCTCATCTGTCAAATGGGAGTTCATAATGATGCAGTTTCTTAGGATTGTTTTGAATATTAAAGGAGTTAAAACATGGCAAGCGCTTATATGGTGATGGATACAGTCAGGGTTCAAGGAGGGATGGGGGAGATGCTCCTCTGGGTAAAACAGAGATATGTCACAAACTGAGAAGGAGAAGGAGTGGTTGAATGGCCAAAGCACTTGCCATTCGTTGTTTCTGTACATAGGTTTCACTGAGCTGTTATGTATGTTCAAAAACTTCACAGATTTTAAATGTACAAATTTTAAGCATTGTTACAAGCGTACATATGTGTAAGCACCACCTGGATCAAGATACAGAGCATTATAACTCTCAAGGGTTCCCTCATGTACCTTTATGGTCAGGGCCTTCCTCCCCACCCCTTAGTCCTTGCTGCCAGCTCTTGGCAGCCTGTTCTGTTCCTATAAATTTGCCTTTTCTAGAATGTCATCTAAATGGAATCAAAAATTGTGCAGCCTTTTATATCTGGCTTCTTTCATTTAGCGAATGCATTAGAGATTCACCCATATTGTTGCACATATCCATAGTTTATTCATTTTTTTTTCCTGGATAGAATTGTATCCTGTGGCTATAAAATCTGTTTATTCACCAGATGATGGCTTTGGGGGGCTTATTCAAGTCTTTGGTGATAACATTGCATATAATTACTTGATGCTTACCATCACTGCACACTGCAGGCACTCTTGTATCTCCGAGTTATGAGGAAACTGGTAAAGACAGGTTATGGGACCTGCCCTGGGGCCCCCAAAGCCTGTACCGTCCAGAATCTGTGGCTGCTGAAGTAGGTAATATACGAATCCCTTGGAGAGGGCACTGATGAGAATGTCCTTCTGCTTCTCAGGAAACATAAAGAATGAGGAAACATCTCCAGAGTCAGGACCTGCCCTTCCCCATGAGAAGGACGCCCTCTTCACAGCCCGGGCTCGGGGGATGCTGGGCTGGAGCAGCTCTCCATCATCCCAGTCCTCAGATTACCAGTCCTACTCCCAATACCGGTCTTGCTTCTCCTGTATGTGCAACGACCAGGACGCCACCCCGCAGAGCTTGTGCGCCCTCTACACCCGAGTGCAGACAGTACGTGGAGTGGCAGTGGCCTGGGAGACAGAAACTGGCTTCCAGCCAGTCAGCAGGAAGCCCCGCATCCGTGAAGCCGAGTTCATCAAGAGACAGAGGCAGAAAGGCTCTTCCTTTGAGATGGCTTCCAACACTGACCTGCACTGGGAGTTGGAAGCCAGCAAAAACAACTGCTGTCCAGAGACCGACGATGCAGAGCTGCTGGAGCCACTGGAGTGCTGCCTCCAGGACCTGCGGACCCACCCAGACTGGCTGGTCACCACCAACTATGGGCTCCGCTGCTTGGCCTGCTGCCGGGTCTTCCCCTCACTGGAGGCATTGCTGGAGCATGCCCAACATGGCATCCGAGAAGGCTTCAGCTGCCAGATCTTTTTTGAGGAGATGCTGGAGAGGAGGAAGACCCAGGGCCAAGGGCAGGACCAACCGCTGGAGGAAGAGGAACAAAGCCTTTCTAACAGTAGTGAATGTTCCAGGTCCCAGAGCAAGGTGCTTCTTTCACAGCAGGAGGAGGGGGAGGAGGAGAAGCAGCAGCAGCAGCAGCAGCAGCAGTGAGCTGGAGGTAAGGTGCCCACCCCTGCCCTCACCTGCAGCACCTGGGGCTGCTCCTTCCCCAGTCAGCAGGAACAGAGCCACCTGGGCAGGGAGAGAGGACCAGGGTCTTGGAGGAAGAAAGCAATGGAGCTTGGAGCAGCAAGACAGGAGGGGAAGAGGCCCTTCCCCAGGGCACAGCATTTCCACCAGCGTCTGTTTCAAACCTGAATCCAAAGCAGAAGGCTTTGAGCATTCCTGATGGTGGGCACAAGATCAGAAACACAAGTGTGTGACTACAGGGATTTCTATTTTTGCTGGGCATCAGCAGGCCCATGCTTGCTCTATAAGTAGATGTGACTCACAAGCAAGCCAACTGCAAATGAAGCTTCCGCCCTATTTTTTTTTCATTGTTAGGAATCTGTCATATGCCCTAGTTCTATGTCTTATGTTATTGGGATTAAACTTGAATAACTCTAAGAAAGCAGTGACTAATTGAGTGGACCATGTTTTCAGGTCGTACCCATAAGAAGTGGCTATTTCTGTAGGTTATGAACTAGCACACACCTGGGGAGTCAGGTAGCTTTGCAGGATAGACACAAGGCTGGGGAAGTCCTTCTGTGAGTTCACAGGTGTCAACTATATGGGTTTAAATGTTGCCATGAAATTCACTTACACCTTTCAACCCATTTCCCCTGCAGGTGGTGGGGGGGAGGCTGCACTCATTCAATAAAAGCTATCAATTTCCATCCAGTTTGCATTAGATATACCAGCTGCTGGAGCACATACAGGCTGAGCAGCATCCCTTATCTGGAGGGCTTGGTACCGGAAATATTTGGGGTGTGGGATTTTGGGGGGATGGGAGCAAAGTCTAAATATAAATTTCATTTATGTTCCCATATGCTCCTTATATCTTGAAGGTAATTTTATATAATACTTTTAGTGTGCCTGTTTATTTTGGGGGGTGGGTGGGTACCGGGGATTGAACTCAGAGGCACTCAACCACTAAACCATACCCCCAGCCCTATTTTGTATTTTACTTAGAGACAGGGCCTCAGTGAGTTGCTTACCACCTCGCTTTTGCTGAGGCTGGCTTTGAACTAGCAATCCTCCTGCCTCAGCCTCCTGAGCTGCTGGGATAGCTTGCCTGTTTTAACTGTGACCCATCTAGAGAAGTCAAGTATAGAATTTTCCACTTGTAATGTTATATCAGAGCTCAAAAATTTCAGATTTTGGAGCATTTCAGAGTTCATACTTTGGAGCATTTCAGAGTTCAGATTTTGGGATAAGGGGCTCCACTATACACCAAACTCTATCACTTCCATGACATAAAACAGGCAAAAGGATGGATCACATGGAGGAAGTTGGTGATCCCAGAAGAGGAGCCTCAGATACACACCATTTGATCAGGAGGCTAAACCTTTCCAGAAGAGGCACTGCTCACAGGACTTGGAGGATAGGTGGTCTAAACTAGGGTAAGGGTTCTCAATGGCAGCTTTGTTGACATCGTAGGCTAAATGTTTTTTAGCTGGCCTCTAACCAATAGCTGTCAGTAGCATTGCCTCCCCTGCAGTTGCAGAAATAATAAAAAAAAATATCTTCAGATACAGCTATCCCCTGATGAGTTAGACCAAAACAGGGACCTTAGAGGAGAGAAGACACAGTACATTTTGGGAATTGCCAGGTGCTTTGACCTGGCTGCATGTTCCAGGCATTGTACTAAGCATGGGGAATAAAAAGTGAACAAAGGGGGGAAAAGCAATCCATGTCTGTATGTGGAGCTTATGGCCAGTGGGTGAGGGGAAATATATATATATATATATATATATATATATATATATATATATATATATCTTAAAATAATTATTAAAGTACTTTTTCATGGCCTATAGGGCCCTACATAACTCAGCCTTTGCCACTCTTTCCACCATCTGTTAGCATTCTCTGCCTCACTGTGCTCCAACCGCATAGAATGTTTTCTTTCCCTAACTTATCAAAGCTTTCATACCTTAGAGCCTTTGCGCCTGCATTCTCTCTGAAGTGGAATGCAACCCTTTCCTGTCTTTCCTCAGGCTAACCCTCCAGCTATCTCTTTGCTCACCTCTAAGGTTTCAGCTCTGAGGCTGTCCTCAGTCATGCTGTCTCAGCTTATGCCTCATACTAAGTGCAGCTGGTTTTAAGAAAAAGTGACAATTTCGTATTTTAAAAAGCTATCTTTGCAGTGTATGGGTTGGGATGGCAGCTAAAAGGGGAAAGTGAGAAGTAGAGAGATCATTTAGGAGCCTATTGCACAAGTCCAGGCCAGGGAAGGGAATGACTTGGACAAGGCTGGTCACAAGCCAAGAGGGATAGGAATGGTTATATTCAAGACCCTGGGAAATTAGAGACCAAAAGACTTGGGGATGGGCACAAGTGAAGACGCAGCAGGGGGTTCTCAAGGGGGACTTTGGTTCCTAGCAGGAGCAGATGAGGAGTGTGGGCGTTAATTGATAAGGAAGGACTTTGGGAGGAGGATCAGTGTGATTGTGTGTGCAAGTTTGTGTGTGTGTAAGTGTGTACAGGTTTGCAATGAGCATGTCTGTGTGTGTGTGTGTGTGTGTGTGTGTGTGTGTGACCGTATGTGTGAGCATTGCCTGCATGTAGACATGCAGGAATAAGTGTGGGTAGGGTGACAGGGGTCAGTTAGGACATGGGCTCTTCTAAATGCTGATGGCGTATTGAAGTAGAGATGTGGAATAGAAAGAGGTTTCTAATTTAGAACTCCGACAAGTCTGAATTGAAAACCTAAATAAGGAAGATAACAGCACATGAATGGAACATGTTAGGCCCCAACAGTGGGTAGGTAGTGCAGAGTTAGCATGAGGTTATTTTCAACTCTACAAACTCTACCCCAGTAATAGGATCTGGAAAATAAGAAATGGGGTGTAGTGCATGTTCTAAGATTTTTCTTCAAAGTCAACAAAGAAAGAAAATATGATTCTCAGGATGGTGAGAAGTGTTAAGTGCCAGGGAGAGTTACAGTAAGGAGACGATGAGATGTTTCCCACCTCCTTTGGTGCCTGGAGGTTGCTCATGGCTCTAATGAAGCAGTCTCAGTGGCCAAGAAGGGGAAAGGTCATGGTCAGTCATGGACACAAGACAAACCTCCAGGGACAAGCATGAGACATCCCTGCTGGCAAGTTTAGCTAGAAGAAAAAAATGTTTATAGCTGGACCAAAGGAAACTAAAAACCAAAGTTGATAGAGTAAACCTATGTGGTAATGGAGAGGATCTAGCAGAGAGAGAGAAACTGATTGTGCAAGAAAAACTGGGAAAGTCTGAGGAGGCAAGCAGGAGAGAGAGAGGAATGAGTAGATAGGAAAACGACGGGCTTCAAATGAGTGGTTTTGTATCCTCTGTTGTGCACAGATTAGGTCAGGTAGAACTTTGGAGCCCAAATTAAGGAACTTGAGCACCCCCCCACCAAATAACAAGGAAAGATTTTAAGCAAGTCATATTTGCGTTTGAGAAAGATCACCTCAATGAATGGGGTAAAGGATGGGTAGGAGAGCAACACAGAGGACAGGAAGCTTAGGTAGAGATGCTGGCAGGAGGAACTGAAGAGAAATTTTAAAGATTGAAACAATGGAGCATGGCGGGTGGTTGTTGAGGGTGGTGAGAGTAAAGAGTTCAGAATAACTTATGGATTTTTAAATTTTTTTCTTGGATGGTTGTTGAATGTTGGTGCCATTTGCAAATAAAGGAACATTGAGGAGGAAGAGAAGGGGAAGGAGGGGGGATGGGTGGAGGAGGAGGAGTGGGAGGATGACAACGGTTGACTGAGAAGCTAAGCCCCCTTTTGAAGATGCTGAGTTTAAGATAGGAACATCTAGAAAGGGAGTGGAGCTTGGAAGGGTGGTAAACTAGGATGAAGACAGATTTGTGCCCATCTGCAAGTGTTTTTCATAACCAGGCAGCCTGGCACCAAACCTATGTTTTACCATCACACCAGCACTCATACTTTAATGTAAAGACAGATGCAAGGTATTTAGGAGAGCAAACATGTCAGCTCCACAGGCTGTATTTTCTTTAGATTAAGTAGCAACAGCTGGAGACCAGGGAAAAGCTGATAGGTATTTAGGACAAATGAAGGATAGCAACAACTTCAGGTAAGCAAACCTTTTAAGGAAAGGATGGCTTCAGCTGACATGGAGGGAGGAGGAGAGGACACAATTATTCTTAAGGTAGTGACTACTTCCTAAACTCAAGTGAGTTAAGTGTAACTTGTGGTTTAAACCTATCAATTTACAGAGACCTGTGACCTCCAGAGATAGGGGAAACTGGAGGGTTCAGGGGGACCCCAAACATTCTAGATTATAAACTACTTTAAACTTCATTTTCCCAAGCCATAGAAAAAGATGGAACTCATTTCACAAGACTTACATAAACCTGGTGACAAAGCCTGACAAAGATGACATGAAGTAAATGACATATGAGTCCCACTTATAAACACAAAATGATCACTAATTAAATATAACTGAATATGAAAGGGATAATTCACCATTACTAAGTTTGCATCATCCCTTGATTAATTAAAATTATTGCACCTAGAAATACTTCATATTGAAAGAACAAATGGTTATCTCAAAAAAATGTTAAATGAACATGATAATCAGAAATAAATCTGTACATGTATGGTCAATGACCTTTTCAAGAAGGAATACTAAGTTAAGTCAAAGGAGAAAGAATAATCTTTTTTATAAATGGTACTGGGACATCTGGATATCTGCATGCAGAAGAGTGAAGTTGGATCCTTCCCTCACACCATACATAAATATTAACTCAAAATGGAAAAGACCCCAAATGGAAAAGAGCTAAAACTAAAACTCTTAAAGGTAACATAGGTGTAAATTTGAAAACACATCCACACAATATTCACAGCAACATTATTCCTAATAAAAAAGGAAAAATAACTATGACTAAAAAGGAAATAACACGGAAAATAGCCCATTCACTATTTCTTAGTACATTTTTGGTTTCTACAACAAAATACCTGAAACTAAGTAATTTATAAAAAAAAATCTATGTTTATATGGCTCATGGTTCTGGAGGATGGGAAGTCCAAGATCATGGCTCTGGTATCTGATGGGGGTATTCTTTCTGAAAACAAAACATGGTGTGGAGATGTATCACATGGTAAGACTGAGCAAGCATATCTGCTTGGGTCTGTCTTCCTCCTCTTATAAGGCCACTATGGGGGCCCACCCTCAAGATCTCATGTAATCCTAACTACCACCCGAAGACCCACCTCCGAGTACATTAACATAAATTTGGGGATTTTTTCTAACACTTGAACTTTCGGGGGACACATTCAGAGCAGATCACACTAGATAACAGAAATTCATGGAAATATTGCAAACACAATGAAATGTCCAAGTGATTATCACTAGTTGATAAATTTTTTGGGGGGTACCAGTTGACAATTTTTTCCCTTTAGTTTATATCATGTTTTGAGTTTAGCAAGTGTGTCTTCTGAGAAAAAGGCAATGAAACATTTCATTGTAACAGTGCCTCAGTTTGAAATAACTTTGTGTGTGGCGGGAGCGGGGGGCGCGCAGGTTCTTGTTCACATTCGTGGTCTTCAGACCGCAATGTGAGAAACCTAGCTCTTGACATCTTAAACCCTGGTTCTTCAGAATTAAATTAGCTTTAATTTTCTTAGCACTTTATAGTGGATAAGGACTCAACCAACTCAAAAGAGTGAAATGACAAAGCTGGTTTGAAAGTGTGTCCTTATTTCTTACACAGGTCGAAAGTTTTAGGTGGGAAGGTCCTCAACCATGGTGGGAACCCAATTGAGAGAAAGGGCAAAGACGATGAGTCCAGGACAGGGAAAAAATCACCTACATAGGGCCATGTAAGGAGAATAACAGGAGGAGGGGAAGGAGATGAGGAAATTGACCAGGAGATAAAAGGAGAAACAGAGAAGTGGAGATGTTAAGAAGGTTTTCTCTGATAGGTGGAAACTAACCCACAATAAGAGAGGGCAGTGAGGAGAAGAACAGAAAGACAGTGGATTAGATAATGGGGAATGGAGGGAAGGGAGTGGGGGTAAGCAAAGGAAAGACAGTGGGATGAATCTGACCTAGTTTTCCCAGGTACGTATATGAAAACAGCACAGTGAATCCCACCACCATGTACATCCATGAGAGTGGCACTCTAACTAGAATAAGATAAACTCCCTGCTTGTATAATCATTTCAAAATGGAATCTGCTGTTATTTATAACTAAAAAGAATCAATTAATAAAACTATTTGTACATAAAAAATAAATTGAATTATAATAGTGGAAAAAACAAAAAGAATAACATGTAGTTAGGTGAGATGGCACAGGAGACTGGAGCACTGCAGGTCACAGAGGCAGAGGATCAGAAATTTGATGCCAGTCTCAGCAACTTAGTGAGACCCTGTCTCAAAAAGTAAGAAGGTCTGGGGATGTGGCTCCGTGGAAAATGCCCCTGGGTTCATTCCTCAGTACAAAAGAAAAAGAGAGAGAGAGAGAGAGAGAGAGAGAGAGAGAGAGAGAGAGAATTTGTAAGGCATGGGCCAGAAATTTGACATCACAAAGGGGGTTTGGATAAGGGTTTGATGAGAGTCCCATAAAAGTGGTTGAGATCCTATTAGAACTTTCCAAGGACATAAACAGTCTTTGAGGGGCTCAGTAATTGATACTGTGTCCTCCCCAAATTCCTACGTTGAGTCAACCTCTAGTACTTCAGAATGTGACTATATTTGGAGATAGAGCCTTTAAAGTAGTTAAGATAAAATGAAGGCATATAGAAGGGCTTTAATTCCATATAACTGGTGGCCTTACAAGAAGAAGAGATTATGTCAGATATGTACAGAGGAAAGACCATGTGTGTTAGTCATCTCTGCCATGCCTAATAAAGGACATGAATCAATCAGATTTTTGTTACTGTAACAAATACCTCAAATTTACAACTTATGAACAGAAAGGTTTATTTTGGCTCACAGTTTTGGAAGTTGTACTCCATGATTATTTGGCTTTGTTACTTTGGGGCCTATGATAAGGCAGTACATCATGGCAGAAGCATGTGGCGGAGGAACCTAATTGTTGAGTATGAAAGAGAAAGAGAGGAAGAGAACAGGGTCCTATAATCCCCTTCAAGGATACTCCCCCAGGGATCTAAATCTTCCATTAAGCTCCTCCTCTTAAAAGTTCTACCATTTCCAATAACACTATTGGACCAAGCCTTTAACATGGACCTTTGGGGAGCATTTAAGATCTAATCTGCAGTGCCATGTGAAGACACAGCGGGGACGACAAGAAGATGGCCATCCGTAAGCCAGAGCAAAGACTCAGAAAAAAACAAGCTTGTCAATCAAGGTGTGAGACTGACAACAGACTCTCAGACTTCCAGGCTTCAGTACTGTAAGATGACATGGTTGTTGTTGGCCATCCTGACTGTGGCACTTTGCATGAAAAAAACTATGATTCTGAGGAGCAGGAGCCAGAGGCAGGGAAGAAGGCAGCAGCCAGGAGAGCTTGAGGAGGTCCACTCTAAAGGACGGGAGCCCTCCTGGTCAAGGGTCTTTAAAAGCATAAACATACAGTGAATGCCCCATAAGTATTTGTGAATTTAAGTGCTGGAAAAAGCATAATTATCTGTAGGAACAAATGGATGACATTTGGCTAATTCAGAGTGGTCTCTGACTGAGAGCAAGCAGTGTGCAGTTTGCATGTCCAGAGGGTTGACCGACAGAAGGAACTGGGTGCATGAGGGTAGACTCTCAGTCCCTAGTGCTTCTTTTTCTAGTAATACTGATAAGAAGGCCTCACAGGGAAAGGAGTTGGGCATAGGGACGAGGAGATGTGCTGAGCTATAGGGAAGATGGAACAAAGAATTTCATGAAAATGCCATGTCTCAATGTGTGAGTATGAGAGAGTGCATGTGTGTACGAATAACCTGGTGCTTTGCACAGAATCATATTCATTCCTAGCTTGGAGCAGAGCACAAGGGCCCTATGAGGAGGTCACAAATGATGCATGAACCCCGCCCCCCAGACTTATTTACTCTCTGCTGTCAGACTTACTGAAGCACCTCCAAGTACACAGCCAGGAACCACCAAATTGAGGTGCTGTCAGTCTCAGGAGAAGAGCATGGGAATTCACCACAGAGTACTTGAGTACTCTTTTTTGAAGGCCAAAAACATTCTTATGGAACTTGTGCTGTCTTCAAGTCATTGCTGTTGAAGCAATTTAAACAACACAAACACAGCACATCCAAGTTTGTGGTTGCTTTTTAACTGGAAAACGATATTAAATACACACACAATTGTGACAGCAATAAAACACAACTAACACTAATCTTATGTGATGGTTTGTAAAACCAAAATGATTCCTCAGTGATTTGGGGACTGAATGTAGCTCAGATTCTTCTGGGGGTGATGGGCCCTCAGCATCATGTACCCAGAAAGGGAGTCAGTTGCAGCAACGAGTTGATGAGTTAGATGTTTTCACTCCCATGGGAGTGAAATGACCACTTGGGTCAAACCTGCTCACCCCAGACCTCTGTTGCTTACAACCTGTTGCTTCTATAATACTTTTAATCCAGACTTGCTCCAAACTGGCAATGGTTGCCTTTACTATACAGAAATATCTTAATCTTCCACTTTTTAAGAGTCCAAATGGAATCTTTTAGAAAGTCAATACTTCTGCATAAATTCACAAAATATTAGAAATGTATTCATCGTGACATCTCTGAAATTGGGAGGGGAGCATTTTGTAAATTAAATATAAAATTTTTCATATATTCTGTATAATTATATTAGATAATTATACTGCGCTTATAACCAGCATATAAATAAAAGAAAACTGAGATCTCTTAAAGTAAAATTTATAAACAAATTCCTTTTTTATTTCCCCAGATAGTCTGGCCTGACCTTGAACCTCTAGACTGAAGTGATCCTCCTGCCTCAGCCTCCCAAGTAGCTCGGACTATACACATGTGCCATCATGCCTTATCAAAGACAATTTTTTATTTCTAAGTTTTGTTTTGAAAAAAATTAAAACTTAAAAGTTGTGAGAATAGTACATCAGTTTTCGTATTCTCTTTGTCTAGCTTCAGCACTTCTCATTTTGTTTCTCTGTGCTTTTTCTTTCTACATGCATTTATATAAAACATAGATACATTTATTTTTGCTGAATCCTTTAAGAGTAATCTGCAGACATCATGGCTGTTAACACCAAATACTTCAGTGTAGATCTTCTGAAGCACAAAAAGTATTCTTTTCCATATCCACACTTGGAAAATTTAGCAGTTATTTGATAAACAATACAATCCATCCATATTCAAAAATTTCCAACAATGCCAATAATGTCCTTTTAGCAATTTTTTTTCTGATCCCAAATCGTATCCAGTATCACATAGTACATTTAGTGGCTAAGTCTTTTTAACCTCCTTTATTCTGGACAATTCTTCAGTCTTTTCACTCATTGAATGTTTCAGTCAATGGAAGTAGAGGGAAGGAACTAAGATTTTTAGTCTTGAATATCAGCGGTCAATTTGAAGGTACATTTTCTTTGTGGTCAGTTATATAGATGACCAATCCAGAACTTTCCTTGTTCCAATCTCCTTCTTCTGGAGCCTTCTAAGAACATGGGGTCCTTTCTTTCTGTTCCCTGGGAGTTGGCCCAAGTTGCTGCATTCAGCCAGTTGGCACTAAACTTGGCACCAAACTCACAATTATTGCTAAGGTCACAAATGGTGCCCATCCATCACTTACCTTTAGGGGAAAAAGAAGTACACTTCACATCTCTCTCCCAGCTATAGGTTTCTTGAAAATTTTACCATGAATGGTTTTAGGCTTTTCCTACTGATTGGATGGATAGATGCATGTATCGTCTGTAACCATGATCTCTTTCTTATCCTCCCCACCATCATTCATAGATGAAAACTCTTTTATCCAGAGTCTACTTTTTGTTTATTCCCTTTTCGTGTCAATTCAAGCATGTAATTCTTGCTTTTAGCTGAAAAGTGCCTATAAGCAATATGGAGGAGAAAATCTTACAATTATGTGGATACGTCCAGACTGAAAGAACAATACATAGAAATCTGCTGTAGACCCAAGAAGGTATATTTACTTTTCCTTGGTGTGTTTAGTATAGGGATGTATTAGCCATATACAGAATGAAACTGATTACAAAACTATACAATACTCTTCCATCTCTGACCTAGGTTCCAAAAAAACAAAATGCATTTATTTTGAGTCTGGATTTCTATGATTCTTTCAGTGGTGACTGATTGAACCAAGAATTGGTTGAGTGTTCAATGCCCAGGGACCTGGATCAACTTTAGAATAATCTGAATGTAGCTGGACATGGTGTTGCATGCCTGTAATCCAAAAGACTCAAGAGGCTGAGGCAAGAGGACCTCAAAGTTCAAGGACAGACTCAGACCCTAAGGGCTGGGGATGCAGCTCAGCGGTAAAGCACTCCTGGATTCAATTCCCAGCAACAATAAAATAAAAATAAAATAAGGAAGGAAGGAAGGAAGGAGAAAAGAAAAAAAAGTATGATCTGAATGAATGCCTATTTAGAAACCTCAGTTGGGAATTTTTAGGAAAGTAATCATTTTTAAAAAAAATAATTTGAGTATTATTCTCATTAAGAACAAAATTAGATCTTATAGAGCCAGGGCTAAATAAATAAATCAGTAGAGGTTTTCAAATCATCGAAAGCTTGTGCATGAGTTAGTAGGGAGCAGGGAGAAGGGAAAGATCAGGAAGGTTTCTGCTAACGTAGTCTAGAACAGCAAAAATACCATTTCACTGGGATCACTGGTTATGTCTTCCATGGGGACTGAAAATATCCTCCCATTCCTGTTTCATGAAGCAAAGGTCTCACTAAGATGTTCTGCTAGATCACTTGAGAAGCTGAGAAGTACTGACAGAGCACCGAGTTGAAAACAGTACAATGCGATGTATCACAAAACTGCAAGAAAAGCACTTTCCAGCCCCAAATCTCCAGTAAGCACCAATGTGGGCAAAGAGAAAACAGGACAAAGTGTGTCTGGGTTGAACATTTGCTCAGTTCTGCAAGGACAGACTGATATTTAGAAATACACAAAACCCAAGCAGGATTTGGTTCCCTAAAGTGTGGCCAATATGTCTTCTCCATCAGCTGGGAGACTTAACTGCAAGCAGCACAGCTGGGGTTGGAGGTCATGGAGGACATCAAACAGCCCCTCAGCTCCCTGCTCATGTGTATTCATGTTGACATGCCATTTTACAGATGTCATTTTAGAGTAATGTTCAGAGAGATCATCTTGCTCAAAGACCCACAGCTGTTGCTTAGTATGGGACGTGAGTATGCTTTCAGAACTATCTTCCAGATAACCTAGAGTCCCTTTTCCAGAACTTTCTCCCCAGTCTGGCCAAACACTGCCATGGGCTCCAGGTCCAAGCTGGCAATCTACAGTCAGAATTCAAGTTCCCAGTTCATATATTCGGTGGCCCACAGAACCCTGGACAGGTCTCCACTCCTTTTTGAGTTTACTAATCTATAAAGTGACCTGGGACTTCACATGGGATATTTGGGTTGCTTGCTTGTTCATGCATAGTGGTTTTCGAGCTCTTTTCCGGAAGCTTGATAGGAACATTTTCATTTCTGAGCTACAGGATTCCATTTGACTCCAGTTCTTGACCTTCTTGTCCTTGGTATTAGACCCAGTGACCTTGCAGCCAGCTAACCATCTCAGGACTTTCCACAGACCTGGCTGAGAGGGGTTGCTTTCTATTCCTGTTGCCTCCATGATTACCTCATGCCCTGCAGGCCCTGTTCCATGGGAGATCCTCCCAGCTGGGAGATCCCAAAGGACTCAAAAGACCCCAGGAAGTGCCTGCTTTCTAGAGAGCTCACAAAACAGTTGTATCACTGGCCGGGCTCCAGGAGTGAATGGTCCCTTGGGACTGGCCCTGAGGTTCAGCACCACTCTCTGCCTCCTCCACCCCTTCTCCCTCTGCTTAGTGGTAAAGATATGGGAACCTCTTTATCCACCACTTCATCCTCCAGGGACCTGCTCTCCATCAGGACCTTCCTGCTGGCTGCCTCTCTCCTTTTTTGTAAGCCCACAAAACCCTCCCCTGATACACACACACACACACACACACACACAGTTACCCAATGCAGATTTTTCTTGCTTAGAGATCCTGAGCTAACACACCAGTTAAGGTCAGATCTCAAGTTTACAGCCACCATGAAGAGACCAGTTCCCTGGCTCAGAGGCACCTGTGGTGGGTCCTTTGTCACTCACTGTTCCCTGCCAAGTGATGTGGGTCTGTTCCTTTATCTCTTTGCTTCTGCAACCCTATCTATATTAATAATAGTAAATGATAGCTGATGTTCATGTCAGGTGCTGGACTACACATCTTTACTGGAACTGGATCTGCCTTTCTTGATCTTCTTAAACAACATCTTGAGGGATGGAACTGTTTCCCCATTGTACAGATAGGCACATGAGAATTAAGGAGCTGTCCTAGGGTCTCACAGTGGAAGGATTTGGTAACATTGTGCAAACCACTTAGCCCAGGACAGGCTGAGGGCGCCCTAAATAGTCATAATTGTTAACAGTTTCCACATTTTCTGGATTTGCCTGTGTGAACCCTTTAATTTTCCAGGAGTCCGAAACCGGTCCCGGATCTCCAACTTTAGGCAGCAGAAGAGGGCTGGCTTCTCCTTCCTACTCCGCTCTGGGGCTTATAAAGGTCCCTGTGGCGTGGTTGCAGGAGATCCTCAGTAAGCCTCCGGCCAGGGATTTAGTAGATGCACTCCAGCCCCCAACCTCCCCGCCCCCAACCTCCCCACCCGCATCCCCTTAGGAATCACAGTGTCCTTGGGGGCAAGAGACCAACAAGCCCTTTGCAGCTCTGTATTTTCCAAGTCAGAGCAACCACCTGTCAGCACCTCAATTGTCTCATCTGAGAAATGGACATGGCAAAAGGAGACACCCACGGGTCACTGAACGAGCGGAATGCGAGGCCTCTCCACTGGCCCATCGCAGGGCCAAGGGACCCAGAAGTCCTGGCCCCAGAGGTGGCAGGCGGCCCGAGGGGCGGGCCGGGACCAGGGCCGGGGGCGGGCGCGGGGCGGGCTGGTGGCGGCCAGGCCTGGCGGCGGCGGCGCTCTCCCGCGTCACAGCGCCGGGCGGCGGCGGGGAGATGCGGCTCCTGGAGCTGGTGGCGGCGTTGCTGCTGGCGCGGGCTCCGGCCCCGGGTAAGCGCAGTGGGGCGGGCGGGCAGGGAGCGGGAGGTCGGGCGGGGGGCCGGGAGCCAGCGCTGGGGAGGTTTGGGGCCTGGCGGGGAGGCCCTGTCGCCTCGGGTCCCCGCTCCGCACCCGCCGGCAGAGGGACAGGGACTGCGCTGTCACTGTCGCCGGTGCGCTCGCTCTGATGGGCTCGCTAGTGCGGCGGGGCTCAGCGGCGCCTTCCTAACTTTCCGCCGAAGCCCTCCAGGGAACGCGGTTTCTTCCAGGACCTGAGCCCAGGGCTCCAGCACAAAAATGCTCTCACGACACCCCGATGCCCTTCCAAGTGACAGGCCTCGGAGGGGAGGACTGGAGCAGGATCCGCAACCCTTAGATCATGGTTTGTTTCCTTTTATTCCACAACGGACAGGACCCACAACTGTTGGCAGGCTCATCTGGTCAGCAACTTTCCTTTAACTTTCTGCGCAGAGCAGAGTGGCTGGAAGTTGAAGTCCGGAGCTAGCTGCTGGATCTGCCCCAGCCGGAGTTGGGGGCTGCAGACTTGTCACGGGCCTTTTGAGGTGACCAGGACTGTTAGATAGGATAACCTGGGCTGGAGGAAGCCTGACCCTTTCTCACAAGAATCCGGATTCGGGCAGCCTTTCTGCCCACACTACTGGCTTGCATTTTTTTTTTATGGCTCCAACTTGTAAATTGCTGAAGAATTTTCTTTTCTTTCTTTGGCTGGCTGCCTCCCTGCTGTAAGGATCATGCTGGCTAGAATAATAGTAATAATAATTATATCAATGGTTCACTTTTTCTGGGTACCCATCAGGTGCCAGGTATTTCAAAGTAATAATGACAAGCTCAAATATTTATAGATCCAAGTAACTCAGTTCATCTGGCCCGTAACCTAAGAGAGGTGCTATCATTGTCCCCATTTTGTAGATTAGGAAGCAGAGGCATGGGTTCATGAATTGACTTAAGTTCATAGACTAGTAAGCAGCAGAGTCAGGATTTGAACCCAGGAAGCCTGGCTGTAGACTCTGTGCTCACAATAGCTAAGCTGGGTGCCATTATTTTCTAAATGAGGGACTGCTGCTCAGAGTTCAGTAATTTTTCTGGGGTGATCCAGCTTCCCAGTGCTGGAGCTGGTGCTTGAACTAGTCTAGTACACACGCGAGTCTGAGGTGGAGGGACTTAGATGCCAGAGGAAGGAAATCTATCCATTGTCCCCATCATGTCCTGCTACAAGTGCAGTGAACCTGAAATCTTGGCCATGGGAAATGCTTCCTTCATGGTAGTCACTGTCTTGATGGAGAATGACAGGAAGTTTGTCTGGGTTCATCAGACTAGGCTGTCTCTCATGGCCTGCATGGAGTAGCCAGCAGCCAGGAGATGCACATGGGCATCCAGGCCCTTTCTCCCTGTGCTCTATGACCACCCAGGTGCTGTTAGAGGGTAACTGAGATTTACTGTTTGGGGTCAAGCACATTATCATGTTTCCAGAAGTCCTCAGGAACCTGAAAAGTTGGAATTTGGGATTCTTTAGAGTCTCTCCTGGCTATGCTCCTTCTTGGATGGCACTCACCCCACATACCTGCTCTAAGTTCTTCATCCAGGACTCTTCATCACCATTGGCAAGGGAAAGCCTGGCAGAGCAGCTTACTACAGAAGTCCAGGCTCTAACCCCTGTTTTGGGGTGGAGTGGGACCTTAGTTCTACCTTTCATTTCATAGAAAAGAAAACCAACTGGCAAAATATTAAGAGCCAAGCCTTAGTCCAGAGTGGTGGTAATGAGTTGTCTTTGAAGCCGGATTTCCTATGTTCAAATTCTAACTTTGCCATGTGCTTTGTGAACTTGAACAAGCTGCTTAGCCTCTCTGTGCCTCAGTTCTCTTGTCTGTAAAATGAGGATTAGCAGAGTATGAGGATAAATTGGGAAAATACATATAAAGTGTTTAGAACTCTTCTTGGCATAGAGTTCACATTAGCCGATGTTAAGCCTCTATCATTGAGCAAGGTCTTGGATAAGAGCTAATTTTAGGTGATGGGCTTAATATGAACGAATCACCCAGGGGCTAAGTCTGGTAGCACTTCTGCTTAGTGGTTAGTAAACACAGGCTCCTGTTGCTGTGGATTTTTAAGTAATGCAATATATTTCTTTCAGAGTTTCATTGTCATGAATTTGAACTATCTATCCTTTAATCACTAAGAAGTTCTTTGCTGCTGATTGAGTACTTCAGTTTGCATTCCTTTTAAACTTAGAGGCTTCTGGGGGCTAGAGCCACCACCACCTTCCTGGCCAGATCAGAACTGAGGGACCCAGCTGTGCCCACCCCTGTGTCCTGGGCGAGCCTGGTGCCTTGTTTTTGACAGAGGACCTTCATTGCCTGCATCTGGGAGTGCTTGTGCCCCAGTCCTCAGCTGCTTCATGAGAAGTAGGTTGTGTACCGATCGGCTGCATGGATGACTTTTTAGGCTAGTTTTCATGACATTAGTGAATGAAAATAGTGGGGTTAGACCCCTTAACTTTTATACCCAGGGAAATCTTATGTACAAACATAACCAGTTATCTAATGAATGGGATCCAGTGCAAAACAAAAAAATTTGGGCCCCTAATTAAAAATTATTAGAATTTCAAGAAATGAACAGTAGAGGTAAAAGCCAGGGGAAGAACCCTTCCAAGCACAGGGCACTGTGTGCCTGCAGATTGTGTGCCTGTGAAGCCCTCCCTACTCAAGATCAGTGTGGGTCACTTTCTATCGCTTCCACCTCCCCAGCGCTCAGTGCATGTAAACCACCATCTGCAGTTTAAAGTGTTTTCCTCATTGGAATCCTAGGCTTACCCTGAAAGGCATCATCTTTCCATTTTCTAGATGAAGAAACTGAGGCTCCAAGAGCCTCCTATCTACCAGAGCCAGATCTCCAATCTATTTGGGCACCAGCCCCTGGCTGTCCTGTCAGTCCCTCCAAGCCACCAATTGTGTTTCATTGTTTCTCCCTAGAAAGCTGGGAAGGCCTGGGACCATGCAAATCCCAGTCTTTTCTCCATCAGTACTATCACCTTCCTCTTTCATGCACTTTTATTTGTAGCCTATGACTCTATAGTTAAGTTTTCCTGTCTTTTTCCAGAGTAACAGTTGCCCTATACCCTGGCCTTTTAGCTCCATGAAGTCAGGAATGCCATCTTCTTATTTGCACAGTGAATAACCTTGAGGAGGCAGGAATTCTGAGTGGGGAGATGTTATGTGGGGGCCTACCTCTACCTCAATTCCTCAATGAAGAGTCACAAAGCAAAAAATTAAATTCCTTTTTCAGCTTGTGTGACTTGAACAATTCTCCTTTTAGTTCAGGAGAGGGAGGATCTGCCCAGACCAGCTGTGTTATCTTACCTAGAGGAGGAGGGGAGCGACACCCACCCTGTCCTGTTCTGTGGCTGGCTTAGCCCAGTTGTGTCCAGCCTGTCCCTTAGGTGTCAATGCTCTGTCATTCATGCTGACATCCATAAGGGCAAGGCCTGGGCTTCCAGGGCACTGAGCTCTCTCTAACCTACCTCTGGACATTGGTGTGCCCAGTTTCTCATTGTCCTGCCTCCCAGTGTCACATGGTGCCTGCTGACCACAGTAGGAAAGAAGCTGCCCAACTCTCTCTCCTAGTACTGACATAAATGTCCTTCTGTGCTCCTCTTGCACCGTCTCTCATCTCCTCTCAGCTCTCGGGCTCCATGCATGTAAGCTGGGTCCCCACATTTGCAGCCACTTCTAGTGCTTGGGGAGGGTGTTGGCTTTGCTGAGAAAGCTCACTGGAAGCACAGGAGCCCCACTACCTGAGAGTGCATGACCTCCAACAAAGCTTTCCGGTGGGGCATGGTGTTCAGCTCTGTTTCAATCACCCCCTTGTGCTGACTGTGGTTGTGAGTATCAGTGGAGGGCTAAGGTGAGCCTAGAACTACCAGTTCCCAGACTGGGTGACTTAAACAATGGGAATTTATTTTCTCAAAGTTCCGGAGGCTGAGTTCAAGATACTGGCAGAGTTGCTATCTCCCAAGGCTTGTAGATGGCATCTTCTCCCTGTGTCCTCTCGTGGTCTTCCCTCTGTCCTAATCTCCTTTTATGAGGACACCAGTCATGTTGGATTAGAGCCCACCCTAATGACCTCATTTTAATTGAATTACTTCTTTGAAGGCCCTACTCCAAATACAGCCACAATCTGAGGGGCTGGGGATTAAGACTTCAACATGTGCATTTTGTGGCTGTACACAACTCAAACCATAGCAAGGCTTTTTGCCCGTGGGAGAAACAGATGTTTGGGTCATTGGTAAGAGAAAATGGGGGCAAAATGAAGGCAGAGAGGTGTGATGATAAAGAGGAAAAAAAAAGGGTTCATCTCAGGAAGCAGCTCCGTCCATTCCTTTCCTGGGAGCTGCTGATCCGGGCCTGAGGCACAGAAGTGGAAGGGTTACTAGTTTGCTTCCAAGATGGAATCTGGCCTCCCATGGGGACTGGAGCACTTGGCACGTTCTCCTGGTTTCAGTCACTATAAATAATCCCTTCTTCATGCAGCGTTAACAGGAGGAGCCCGGGGCGTGGGGTCCACAGCACCATCATCCCACCCATATTGTTTCCATTTCCTGCTTCCCAGCTCTCCTGGACTCCAGTGGGGAGCTCTGGGGGTGGGGCACGGCTGGACTTGGATTCTGGAAGCCAGCTGCTGCATCTCTGTGTTCTCCCTCCTCCTGCCCAGCCCCCTGTGCCTGTTGGGGTGGGGTCAGCCTGGGGTCCCAGCTGCTTCCTTGCTCATCAGGGAGCCCCGCCACAGGCCCCCGTGTGCTTCAGACAGGGCCTCAGCAGTTGGGTGGAAACACAGTCGGACTAATCTAACATGGCATGTGGGCAAGATGCCCGCCAGGTGGGTGAGAGGCAAGGAAGAAGTGGGCCAATTCCTCTTCTATTGCCCTTTATGAGTGACTCTGGACAATAGTAGGATTGTTACTGCAAAAGCCAGGCACCTGCTCACAGGATACTCTAGAATCCAAGAATTTTAATTCAATCATATCCATAAGATGCCTTTTGTCATGTAAAATAACATTTGTATGTTCCCCAGAAATTGAGGCAGGACATCTTGACTCCTGTCAATCTGTATTTCCCAAGTATCTGCCTGGGCTGACCTTGTTCATCCTCACTGTAAACACTGAGGGCCTCAAACCTGTTCACAATGTGCTTAGAGTTCAGCTGAGCATTGGTGTTTTTTTCTTAAGTTCACTCTCATCTATTTTTTTTTTTTAAGATAACCAAAGACTGCCATGGTGTAGTGTGTTCTTATCTCAATCCCCTTGTGAATGTTACTTTACTTGACAAAAGGCACTCTATGGACATTCTTAAGTTAAGATTTCTGAATTATGCTGGAGAGTTCTTAGGACTAATGCCTGGCTTCTATGAGAAAAGCAATGAAAGAAAATTGATGCTCAAGTCATAACTCTTGAGGTGTTCAGTCTACTAATATCAGTAGTGGAAACCATTGAAGAGGATGACTGCTATGGATTGACCATGGTATATCTCCTCTAAAACTCAGGTTGAAATTTAATTTCCATTATGAGATATTAAAAGCTGGGACCATATACTAATCAGCTTTTGGTCATTGTTACCAAAATACCTGACAGGAACAAGGTAGAAGAGAAAAGTTTATTTGGGTTCATGCTTTCAGAGGTTCAGACTATGATGGGCTGGCTCCATTGCTCTGAGCCCAAGATGAGGCAGAACATCATGGCACCTGGGCATGGTAGAGAGAAGTAGCTGGGAAGGAGAGGGGGTGGGGAGAGAGGGGTGGGGAGAGAGAAAAGCCTGGGACAAAACATAATCTGCAAGGGCACACCCCAGTGACCTACTTCCTTTAGCCATACCCTACCAGCCTACAGTTACCACCAGTGGTCCATTCAAATTATCAATCCATCAAATGGATGCATCCATTGATTAAGTTATAGTTCTCATGATCTAATCATTTCACTTTTGAACATTCCTGCATTGTCTATTGCTTGAACCTATTGTGGTGGGGGTATCTCATATCCAAACCACAGTGAACCTTTAAGAAATGATGAGGCTCTGTTTTCACAAATGAGTTAATGGGTCAATAAGTTATCATGAGGTTGATTCTGCTGTAAAAGTCAGTTGGACAAGGTCTCAAACACCCTTGTCTCTGCCGTGTCATGCCTGTGTCACCTCAGGATGCTGCCAGCAAGATGCCATAACCAGATGTGGCTCCTCAACTTTGAACCAGAGCCAAATTAAGCCACTTTTCTTTATAACTTCCTAGTCTGTGTTATTATTAGAAACTGGACAAAGACCAATGACATATCGATGGGATTTTTACAATGAAGGATATTTTTTATGTGACAAGTCTCACCTGACCCCATTACAGCTTCAACTTTGTTCATCCACAGTCTCTGTCAGATGTTCAATTGTGATCTCTTTTTCTTTCTTCCTTCTTGTTTATCTGTAGCACTGACCAGGTGACAAAGCTTTTGTTGACTCTTTGATCTGGGGCTCAAGTTCCTTCATGTGATCAGAGGGAGACATTGAGGGTCTGAAAATTGTGGGTTTGGATTACCCTAGAAGGAGACATTGGGGGTCTGACAATTGTGGGTTTGGATTACCCTAGAAGGAGACATTGGGGATCTGACAATTGTGGGTTTGGGTTACCCTGGGGATACCTGCTTGTTGGTTGCAAAGGCAGCAGTGGTGTTTAATGGAGTTGCACCTGTGAAGTGTAGGAATAGGGACATAGGACCTGGTGAGAGGACAGCACTGATTGTATAGAAAGAGGTTCCAGCATTCTGGGCAAAGCATCTTTTTTCATGGGTTCTGTCTGCCAGTTTCTTATTTTGTTTTCTGTTGCTATAACAAAGTACCTGAGGCTTGGTAATTTATAAATAAGAGAAATTTATTTGGCTCATGTTTCTGGAAGCTGAGAAGTCCATGAGCATAACACTGGCATCTGCTCAGTGTCTGGTAGAGGCCTTCTTGCTGCACCTTAACATGGTTGGGGGGCATCACATGAAAAGGCAGAGCAAGCATGCCAGGTCTCTCTCTTTTTATAAAGTCACTAATACCATCGTGGAGCCCTACTCTCATGACCTCATCTAATCCTAATCACTCCCAAGGCCCACCTCCAAATACCATTAAGCTATGATTTGGGGAATTGTTTTGACACATGAACTTTGTGAGACACATTTAAACCATAATATGGGGAGGCTCCCCCTGGGGGCTCCGGGACAGCATCGCCTCTCTGCACAGCCACCCTACACTAAGAACAGTGGGTCTTTGGAAAAGCGAGCAACGCTCAGTCTCTCTGCGACCTGCTGGTTGGGTGGGCATCAGGGTGTCTCCATTAAAGATCATCTCAGGGAAGAATGTGAGTGGGAGAAGGAGTCTGGTCCTAATGAAGAAACCCAAACAGAAAAAGGTGGATGGGGAATGGAGTTCTGAAGCCTCTTTTGGGGTGTTGGGCGAGTCCTTCAACTCTTCCTGTTCCTGAGGCTTGTTCTCTATTCTTGCATGTCAACTGAGAGCTCTGTTGTTCTCCGTTAGTGGTACTAGTGCAGCATCCTGCTTGACCATTACTGAGCATGTTCCCTGGTTAGTGTTGAAATAGCTCAGATGGAGAAAGAGGGAATAAAGGCAGGCTCAGCCTTGTGGTGGCAGACCGTCAGAGGAGGTGGCTCATCCCTGACCCTGGGCAGATCTGACCCTGTCCAGAGACCTTGGGGGAGGCTGACAGGGGAGATGGGATGTGTGCTGAACATTTTTAAGAGGTTGCAAACTTCCAAATTTTTTGTGTGACAACAAATTAACAATTTTTGAAACATGTTCAGCCAGATGGTTGGTGTTTGGCATTCCATGTGAATGGGATTGTCCATAGATGAGCATGTGGTAGGCCACGGAGGCTGTCCTCAGAAGAAGCCCTCCTCCGACCATCAGGAAGGTGGAGAGTGAACATGGAAGGTACAGGCGTCGCCTGTCTCCCTGGTCATGCTGAGCACTCAGCTCCACTGTGGACTGGCCACATGAGGACAGGCTGTAGCCTTCAATCATCATTTTCTCTTTTTCCCCTTTTCTCTACAGAGGTCTGTGGGGCTCTCAATGTCACCGTGTCCCCAGGGCCTGTGGTTGACTACCTGGAGGGGGAAAATGCCACCCTCCACTGCCATGTCTCCCAGAAGAGGCGGAAGGACAGCTTGTTGGCCGTGCGCTGGTTCTTTGCACGTTCGAACTCCCAGGAGGCCTTGATGGTCAAGATGACCAAGCTACGAGTGGTGCAGTACTACGGGAACTTCAGTCGCAGCGCCAACAGGCAGAGGCTGCGCCTGCTTGAGGAGAGGCGGGGGACTCTCTACAGGCTCTCAGTGTTGACCCTTCGGCCAGCAGATCAAGGGCATTATGTCTGCAAAGTCCAGGAAATCAGCAAGCACAGGAATAAATGGACAGCCTGGTCCAATGGCTCCTCAGCAACAGAAATGAGAGGTGAGGGCACATCTAGTCTCTCTGGAGATGTAGGGTGTAGGGTGCGGAGGCCTGGGGGGAGGCCAGGTCAGTGGTCAGTCCTGTCACAGTGCAGAGGACAACAGTTCAGCTCTGCTAGAACACATCTTGTCTGTCTGTGGGCCACAGCCACGTGAGTTGAACCATGGGGACGAGGGCAGAGCTTTATTTGGACATTTGGGCTGATGCAGGGTGTAGACATGGAAATGGGGAACAGAAAGGAGCAAGTGTCTGCCCCTAGGCCATTTAACCTGTTCTTTGGGTAACACCTTTTTCCTGTCTAAACATTGGAGTAGATGTGCTCTCTCAAAGGTAAACAAAGCCAGACACAGGCTAAACAAAGCCAATTAGAACATATAAAAAGGTTCATTACTTTCAAGTAAGTGTGATCATCTAGCTTGTGATTTAATGTGAATCTACTTTCAGTGAACAAAGTGAAACTTACAAAAAGCAATGGAAAGAGGATGGGGTCTTTGGTCCATGTGGAGTCCATCAGAGTTTGCTAAGTTGCTTCTGGAAGTTAGGCTCCTACCTTCCCACAGAGGCCGGGAGACAGGTTCTGTCATCAGGTGAAGGCTGGAACAAACAGTAAGTTCTTTTACCAGCCTCGATTAGTCTCAGGCAGGCACCCTGTGGAGAGTGGATCATTCTAGGCATGCACCCCGAACTGTCAGAAATTTTGTGTTTGTTCAAGTTTTTATAGGCCTAGCTGAGAGAGGGTTCGGAGGAGCTTGACTAGAGTTTGGTCAAGAAATGAGCCTTTACCGGTGCCAGCCTCTAACTTAGATCTATGCAGCCTTGATTACTTTGGCTAGAGTGCTGGATACCCTGCAGGTGCCATGTGTCAGTAGGTCCTGATGTGAATTGCCAGGCCTAACAATAGGGCAGACTGGTGGCTCTGAGGAGTTGCCTAGGGGGACTGAACCAAGGTCAGACAACAGCTTGCTGTGAGATTCATCAGGAAGTGGGTGAAGGCTCAGAGGCGGCCCTCCCTTCTTGGGGACAGATAGGAAGTGCTTGCCATAGTTTTGGAGCATTTTGGCTACCAAGTACTAAATCGAAGGTCAGCATTTTTGATTACCGGTATTCTGTTTAAGAAGATACCTCTTGCAATTTTAACAAAACTTTCTATTGTGCACTCAACTTATAACTTTGATTGCTTTGAACTTGAATTTAGCTTGCAGAAGATCAGAGTAAAGCTGGTGGTCTCCAGCAAAAACAAGAATGATCTAATTTTATGATGTATATGTAATAAATATTAAAGGCCTTAGTGATATTGTTTTGATAGCTTTTTGTTAAGGAATAAAACTCAGCTGTGAAGGTAGTTTTAATATTCTATATGAATATGAAACATATTAAAGAAAAATTATTTATATGAGTGCCACAGTCTGGCTGGGCACAAAATCACGAGCCACCACACAGCTTGTAGATTCAAACAGCAACTCTTTATTCCTGAACTCACACCAGCCGTCTACAATCACGTTCTGGGGAAATCCACGTTCTCTGCCCAAATCCACCTCCACTGGGCTTCTATCTCCAAAATATACTGTCTGAATCCCGTGAGAACTCAAGGGGAACTCAGGCAGCAAGATACGCCCTATTCCCAGCAGGAATAATCTTAAACCTTAAACCTGGAACCTAAACCGGGAACGCCCTAATCCGCCTTGGTCCTTGAGCAAGGTCACCTACATTCAATGTCACTGCAACATGGGGTACGCTGGCAAGGAAATTGTCATACCTACTTGGCTAATGGCTCCCAGCATATGAGTGGTCTTTAAAGCATGTCTTTGTAATGTTTGTTAACACAGAATGATATAATAATTGAAATGCTGTGCACTTTTTTCTCCCTAAACAAATTAATTCAAGAAAACAAATGACTATTAGTATAAAAATGTATCTTGGCACAGAAAACAAAAGCTACATTAAAAAAAAAAAATACCGGGGCTGAAGAGGGAACCCACACTGACTATCTCTTGGCTCTGAAACATAGATTGTGTGTGTGTGTGTGTGTGTGTATTGCTTGTCTTTACGTCCCAGTATATTCTGGAGTCATGCACTAAATCTCTTGGCAGTAATAAAGCTCTGCCAATTAGAACATATAAAAAGGTTTACTACTTTCAAATAAGTGTAATCATCTAGTTTGTTATTTAATGTGAATTAGTGAGTGAAACGGGGTTTCTTCTAGAACATTTATTTGGAAACTTGCTTCAAAAACCTGAGGTAGTTTGTAAGGCTTCACTGGAAATAAAGGATCTTTTCCCCTCCATCTTTTTCCCCCCAAATTTCCTCATTCTCCCTTTTCTCTTCCCTCCTATCTCCCCTTCCCTCACTCTGTCTTTTTTCTCCTTCCTCTTTCCTCTCTGTCTCTCCTCTTTCTCTCTCACTGCCCTTCGCGTTCTTTTGACCTCTCACCTGGAAGTGGTTCTAACTTCACAGTGAGCTGCTTCCTGCTCTGCCTGCCTCATTCTCTGGGGACGGCCACAGTTCATTGATGGGAAGAATGGAAACTTGAACAATGATCATAACCTACCAGATGCTCCACCGCAGCTCTGAGGGATTATGCCCAGAGGGTTAGGAAAGGTAACCCTAGGTAAAAGGCCTGAAACCAGTCCGTCTTGTTCTGGTTGGGATGTATGCTTCCTGGGCTGGAGGAAGCTTTCAGAGCCTTGGCTGGTTGCTTGTCTTTTCTGGGCAAGATTGGGGCCAGCTTGCTGCTCCAGCCTCCCAGGGTGCCTTTCCTGGTGCCCTTTGTCTTGCTTATCCCTGGGGACCTTGTTTTCCTACATCTCCACTTTAGTTGTTATGTGGAAAACAAAAACATAAGCCAACAGCAAAATGCTAGTTCTGTGGATAAACACATTTGGGTTGGAATGTTAAACAGGACTGCCTAGAGGTGTTTTGGAGGGCCTTCCCACCTGCTCCACCCAGGCTCCAGAGTCTTTTCTACCATTCATTCTTTTTCCCTCCTTTCTGCCAGGTTCTCAAGCCATCAGTGGGAGAGGGGAATGCTTCTTGGGGTTTCCCTTGTAACACTATCCCACTGTTGGCCCTTCACTGTCAACTTGATCATGTGCTCCTTCCTGCAATGTTCTTAATGTGGGATAAAATGGCCTTTCACTGTAAACTCCCAGAAAGAAAGACCAGGGCTGGTCTCTTCACATCTGGCTGTTGCAAGCCCCTCTTCCAGCAGATGGAGGGTCTTGACTCATGCCAAAATATGTAAGGAATGGTTCCTGGCACAAAGTAACTGCTATAGGAGTATTGGCTCTTATTATTTGTCCTGATTTCCACATATTTGTTGTTTTCTTCTGCAAAAATAATGTAGTTCAGTTTCAGAGAATATGGAAAAACACTGAAAGTGTTTAAAGAAGAAAATAAAAAAAGACTTACTGTGTCTTCATCCACCATGCTAACATTTCAATGTCAATCCTTCTAGTATTTTGTACAAATAGAAATATGAAACCTCACTTCAGTCTTAGTATAAATACTGTTCTGTGCCTGGCTTTTTTGACATTGGTAAATAATGTTCAAGTTTCCCTTGTTAGATATGCTTCCATAGTGTAATTTTAATGGCAGAATAGCATACCATGGTGTGGATGTACCAAAATTTAGCTTCCCACTTATTATATTGAACATTTAAGCTGTGCTAAATCTTTGTCAGTTAATCTCCAGAAATGTCACTGTTTAGTATAAGTCCTAGTAATTAAATTCTGGGTCCAAGCGTATACCCGACTTAAAAATTGATGCTAGAATAGTTAATAAATTTATTTTCTCACCAGCATTAAAAATAACTTTTTCCATAGATTCATCTTTATAATCATGATGGTTAGTTTTCTGTATTCACTTGATTTGGCTTAAGGATGCCCAGATTGCTGACAAATCATGATTGATAGATATGTTGTTTCTGGTTCTCTGAACCTTATTTCTTAGAACCCTGACTAATTCAATAACATATACTTTTTGAGGATGATGGTGATGATGATGATGATGATGGTGATGATGATGATGATGATGATGATGATATGACAAATATGTGGAAACAGTACCTGTCACAAAATTGAACCTCAGTAAATACTTGATAAATGTATGAAGTGCTCTTTGTGAGGTGGAATTAGCATCCCTTGCTGTGGATACCTTTGAGGTAGAAATGACAAGGTAGATACAGTAACTCTCTCTGGGAAACCCGCATCTCTTTTCCTTGACCTATTCCAGTTGTACATCTTATTTGAGGCTCCACATCCATCTTTCCTCTTCCACTGTACCTTCTTTGAGTTTGCCAAACCACAGAAAGCTTTCTTACCTACGGCATCCTGCAGATTATATATTTTTAGTACTGTTGGCACCACTTTCTATAGTAACTACAGGGAATGATGTAAAAAATGTGTATATGAATAAAAAACAAGGAAAATACAAAAATGTAAAAGTCGATGGACCTAATGTCCCCTGCTCTGCTCCTAGCCCCACAGATATTCATCATCCACATTTGGTTTAGATCTTTCAAGTCCTTCTTCTACTGACATTCATCTATATCCTCATAAGAATATTTTAACAGTAGCACATGTATTGATTTACAATTATTGTTGATGGTATTATATGTATTTTTTTTTGCTGGCATTATATAGTGAGATAAGACCAGTCTGAATCCAATCATTCCCACAGTGATGGACTTAAGAAACTTTCAATTTTCACCACACAAACAGTGATTTTAGTGAACAGCTTTGTTTGCACTTCCAAGTGTCTCTGTTGATTGGATTCTTGGAAAGAGGTTGCTGGGCCTAAGGCTGTGCATATTTAAATTTTTAATAGACAATGCCAAATTAAATTATATACTTGTAAGATACAATGGTGGGACAATCACAGGATAAACATCCCCATTTCAAAAAACATATATGGGACCATAGAAAGGACGAATAAAAACCAAGTAGGATTAAAAACTCAGGAATGTGATCATAAAATCTGCAAATCTGTAGCTTCAGCTCTAG